GGAGGAAATGGGTCCAGTCTGGTGCGCTCCTGCTTGGTTGGGATTAAAACCTGCTGCCAGACCGGCCCTTTTTCCTGGTTTGAAAATTAGGTTCTCCAGCTTTAAGATGTTCTACTGGATAAAGGCAGCTTTTGCCCTATATGAATAGCTGTATCATTTCTTTCCTCATTCAAGTGAGAACAATTGCTGCTCTACTTCCTACAAGACACCTTCTTAACCAAAAACCACTCACACATTTTACTTGTTCACTGAGTAGTAGTGTTTATGTCATATATATACACATATATACTGAGGGATTTTATATTTTTAATGTACTGTGATGATTTTAATGCCTTGTGTGATTGCTTCTATCTTGTTTGGTTCAGCGATTTGAGTTCCCCTGTGTATGAATTGTGCCATACAAATAAACTTGCCTCACCTACATTCTGTTTGGCCTTTAAAATAGGACGGCTCACCCATATGTGCAATGCTGAGTCGGGGTCCGGTGGGAGGGTTTTGTGGTCTTGCTCTTACTGCTGTGGTGAGAAGTGGCAGCACAGTGGATCCAAGTCTTCTACACTCATCAACAACATCTTAAATAATACATACAGTATTTAAACAATATTGGTGAAATGGACATACGCCTGGGACTGACCTGGATTATGGAGTCGTCTGTGAGCAGCTGTAGGTATTGTAGAACCAGCGTCACTTATAGTCTTCCTGCTTTGCTTTCACTGCTATGACTCAGAAGCACATTGTATATTCTCGTCATGGTCATGGCTTACACTGAGGCTTTGTAATCGGTTTAATGTTCCTATAAAATAACCATTATTATGTGTATATGTATTTGTACGTATTTGTTATATTTCAGATTGTGGTTGAGAATTGATTTATAACATAGACATCACAAGCAAAAATTTAAATGTTGTAGTTCGGATGTGAGAAGTTCATATAAATCCAAAATAGCTATAGGCATTCCCAGCAAAATGAAAACTTTCTTAAAATTAATATTCATTTTGCGTGCTGTTCTGCTGAGTTACTAGTGTGAGTCAATAGCAGATAAAATAAAGAAGTAGAATAATAAAGTCCTCTTATGGCATATTAATATAAAGGTGAAACTGAGGTAAAAAATCACTTCTGTAACTAAAATCCATCCACCCATTTTCATCCGCTTCATCCGTTGCCGGGTCGCGGGGGCAGCAGTCTAAGCAGAGACGCCCAGACTTCCCTATCCACACACACTTCCTCCAGCTCATCCGGGGGGTTTCTTTGTTAATAAAAAATTGAAACTAAAACATGATTCATTATATGCAAAGTGAGATGAATTAAGCCTTTGTTATAACGTTGATAATTGGCTCTCACCCCAATTAAAAATATAAAAATGAAATGAGAAAATGTTAAAATGTGTCCCTGTACATGTAATTTGATGTGTGTAATATTTGTATAAGCCTCAGCACATAATGTTGTAGCAGAAAAAATGTGTTTGTTGATCTGTTAAAAATATATAAATCATGTGTCCTTTAGCTGTGAATGGGCTTGAATCCCCACAAACCTGACTCGTAATTGTTCCTGAGGGCTTTCTCCTGTTTTTTACTGAACCGGGTAAAACTACTGGACCCGGTTTGAGCTGAAATGTGGTGTGTAGACGGGACGTGATGGAACGAAGACCCCATTAAACGAGATAATCCGCGGTGTTGGCAGGGTATGTTCTCTCCAAGTGTACATTATTCCTCCTCCCACAATTTGGCATGAGATTTATAAACTTCAACAGAGATTTGTTTGGTTTGACTTAATTTCATTGTAATCTTATGGATAAAATTGTATTAAAACTAAGGTACCTAACTTTGATTTCTTCATAAATAATACTGTCTTTTTGTCCCAACTGAAAGAGTGTTGTAGAATGTATTAGTCAGACCATTTAATTTTTGGCATATAGAGTTCCTCAAGTCCCTATTTGACACTTTGTCTAGGATCTGATCTCATTTTCACTTTTCTGTCTGAAAAATCATATCTAAAGATGTGACAGAGGCCACAATATACCTGAAATGTGAAGACTTGTGATAGACCCAAACTGTTTTGACAGTCACAAACTAGTCACATGGGTTTTTTTGTACATAGTTCCATTTTTGTGGTTTGAAAGTTAAAGTCACCCCAGCTTTAAGTTTCTCATCCCTTTCCTCGAGATGATTTTTTTTTTATGCACCGAGAGAAGCATGATGCAGCATCTGTCTCACAATGAATCACAATCTCCCCACGCACTCCACATGCAAAACACCAACACTGCTTTATATTTTCACCTTCCGCATGAAAACATCACATGTTAAAAACATATCTGACACACATTTTGTTCAAATCAAAAGCACTTTTTTTACCACTGTCCAAAAATCTTCAACCACACAGTAAGGGTTAAAACCATAGACTTCATATAGATACATATATAGATAGAAAAGTGCTAACCTGCTAGTTCAACGAAGCCCACTAAGGAAATCTCAGTAACAGTTTTTGTGCTCACTCAACATTTTGGGCTTTAAAAATCCATGGTTTTGCACTTTCTCTGATTCTGGTGTTCTTCTGTTTAATATTGTCTTTGTAAATCCAGATATGATCCATCTATCCATCCATTATCTTCCCCTTAATCCATTTCTGGGTCGGGGGGTGGCAGTCAGAGCTGCACCCGGCAATCCAGATCTGAGTTATATATTGACCAATCAGATGCCTTCATTCACAAGGCATTAGGAACCATCTCAGCAACTCGTCTGGTCCGTTCACTCCTAATATACAGTCTGCAGTATGCTTAAAACAGAATGCACTTAACAACAATAAATATAGACTCAGTGTCACTCACTATTACGGCAATGAAAATTACAGCCATTTTGACACTAATTCAGACCAGATTTCTCTCCTTTTTTTTGCTGGTGCGCTCTCATCCCAACAACCTCCTTTGTCCAACCTCAGCAACACCATAAAACTTCACAGCCTTCTCCTGCTGGAATATTTGATGACCAATTTGAACCACCGACCGAGAGACAGTCATTCCCAGAGTAAATCAAATTAGTAAAAGTGTTAAATCTGCACAGAGACAGACATGTGTTTCCTGTGTTTGGGGAATTGTTAGAATGCACCATAGATGTGTCATTGGGGCGGGTCCCTTCAGCAAACTGCAGGGCTTTGGAACTGACTGAGGCCCTGATGCCACTTGAAACTATGCATTACAGTTTATTAAATATTTCTGCAGGCATTTCTCAACAGCCACAAAAAAAACTTTTTATATACAAAAACAATCTAACTAGCTCTCAAAACAGTTTGGCACAGTTTCACTAGTTTTCCCATGCATGTATTTATTTATATGGTTAGCCTCATATCATCACTACCAAGTCATATTTCAATGTTTTTCTGATCACAACAACAAAACAAAAAAGCACATTGGCATTGACTGCTAAGGTTTCCATGTATTTTTGGATAGCTCTAAATCACAGCAGCAGTCATTTTGGAGGACATTACAAAGTTGCCAACAACAGACCAGAGAGTTAAACAGTTCGAACACAGAAAATGCCATAAAAAAACACACAGAAACCCCATAAGGAGCGGGATGACTGTAATGTAAATAAATGTGTAAATGTCCCTAAAAGTCCTGGATCATAACTGTCCATGCTATCAGGCTAATTATATATTTTGTTTAGCACATGTGAAAGCAGAAAGGTGGGGGGGGATATTAATCCTTTGTAAATGGACCTTTGAATAATATTCTAATTTCCAGAGTTTCACCTGTGTCAATTCTGCTCCTTTGAAAGAGGATGAAGACATGCTGTTGTTGTCGGATGTAATTTAAGAAACATAAAAGTCCTGTTTTTATGTTTCCCAAAAAAAACTATGTCAATACAATGCTATAATTAAGTGAACAAAGCTCTTTCTGTGGATCCCCTGGACAACTGAGGGATTACAGAAACATCAATCCCAAACTGCACTAAGGGCTATACACTGTATATGGGGAGGCAGCAATTCAGATTTATTCAGCTGAAATTCTGAAAAAGTGAGACAGGTTTCTACTTTGACAATGTTCAAATCCAGGTTGAAAACAGTTCTGTTTCACTGTTCATTTAAGTATCTTCAATCTTTTTTATGTACTGCGATTATTTATGTATGATTTGAATGCATTGTTTGTTTGTGTCTTGTTTTCGTTAAGCACTTTTATAGAAATAAACTTGCCTTGTCGTGCCTAACTACTAAATACAAAACTCTAGCTAAATAAAAATAAATCTATAGCAGTTCGTTGCATTGAACAAGCAGTTAATCTCATGCTATCTTTTCCTTGGAGCATTATTGAAAAGAAATCCATGTTGCTTTGTTTATTAGTGGCTAATGAGAACCACTCCTGCAGAGACAAGAAGATGAGTTGTCCCTCTGACAGTTGGCTCCGTCCTGGGGCTGCAGTGTGCTCGCTTTATGACAATAGCTTAGCTTGATGAAAGCCCCTGGCAAAGGCCTATTCTCTGCTCTTAACTGGTCATTACTTGGTTGTGATTAGATATTGCCAATCAGCAAAAGAGAAACAGAGAGTCCTCAAACGAAGCTGGGGTAACCGGAGCCTACAGCTGAAATCCCAGGCATGTGTTTGTGATTGCATTTCATGTCTGTGCCATGGGAAACAGTAATGTGGCGTTCACTACAGCTGCACAATGGGCATGAGTGCTGCAGCCCGAGCCCCGTTTATGAGTGCTTTTATTGGTACACACTACACAGATAAGTGCAACACACACCAACCACATCCACCTCTGCTCTTATAGGCAACAGCTTTAACTAAGGGAACATGTATAGAGTATCAGATGGATGTTTATGACTTATTAATAGATAAAATGTGCATTCAAATAGCAATCAGGTTTAATAGTTTACCTAAAAATATGGAAAACATGCGCAATGCTTTATGAAGTGGTTTCTAAAATAATATCACATGCACTAATGAAAGACACACTGTTTGTTTGTAAATGGTGTAATTTCATGTTTCTGCTCTTGTGTTTTTGCAGTGGAGGCTGATCAGGTGAACTCACTGGGATCTGAGGGGGAGGATGAAGTGGGTGTTTGGAGCCTGGAGCCGCAGGAGTGCCCGGAGATCCTGGACAAGGCCAGTCTGACTCCCAGCGAGGGCACAGAGGAGCCTGGAAGTCCCCTTCGTTCTTCACAGGGACACAGCCTGAGCCCAGAGGAGCCGCCTTCAATCACGGACCCAGACGAAAAGGACGCAGAGACTATGTACCGTGAGTGACAGCTCAATACAATTCTTCAGTTTTGCTCAACTCAACTTTTAAGAAACAGCTTTTGAAACAACAACCCAGAGTTTTTTCTAATGGGGCCACGGTTGATTAGTTGTTTGAGAATGCTGTGTTGGCCACTACAGTGTGTAAACAAATGTACAGTGTTTCTGATGCAAGATGCTGGTGCTTTCTGCTGCATATAGCTTCGTATCGGCTCCTTATAAAAGCATGCCTTCCTCCGACACTTCTCCTTTTCACACTCGGCCTTTGAAAGGGCTGCCTTCTGAAAGCATGACAAAAGAACTCATCCCACACAATGTCACAATATTTCCATGCATCAAAGAGGTGACGTTACGGTACTGAAATCAGCGCGCTGCGACGTGAGGCTTTCCCTTTTATTTAGAGGAGATCAAAGGCTCACGCGGCTTGCCTACTAACAATCACTTAGCTCCCTGGCCTGGTGTGATTGGGCCCGTTCTGATGAAGGCAAAGCTGAGTTTTTACAACACTTAACCACACAGGCTCTTCCCATTGCCACATTAAAAACAGCTCAAAATATGCCAACATCTGCAAACATTTGAAAAATCGTCCTCAAAGTAGTTGTAAGCAGAGCTGACTGGCGCGGCTCGTGATGGGAGGCGCCGCATGTTCCTCTCATACATGTGTCTCCTGCCTGTCACCGCACTCAAGGACACAAGGAGGAAACCCAGGAATCCACTTTTACATGTGGCCAAAACACGTTCACACAGCCTGCCTATCTGTCAGACCCAAAGTCAACAATGCCCTTGCATTATCTTAAATATGCAGTGCGTGCCGAATAAGCACTCATCATAAACTCTTATATTTGACGTTCAAGTGGAATGAGGTTTAACCACAGTGACTTATCAAGTGTCTTCAACATGCAACTCAAAATCTGCACTTCTTTAAACCACATCTTGAGAACGCAAAAAGATGTAGATATGAACATGGCTAGAGATGTTGAAATCCTCACTGAGCTTACCTGTTAGGATGACCATAGTATAGACTATATGGAGAATATATAATCATTATATGATGGTAAACAATTAATTACATTAAACCATTGCCTTTTTGTGTCAACAAGTGTATTTCTAATATTTTGCTTTTTTCAGGTAAAACCTCAGATCCACAAAATGCGTTGGAGGACTTAGCACACTATGAGTTCCTGACGCAGCTGAGGAGAGCCTCAAACTCCTCCAGTGTTCTGGAGCATCAGCTGTATCACCATGACGACCTGCCCGCAGCCATGTGGTCCCCGGGGGTCCATCACTCTCCTGATGCAACAGGTGACCTCAATGTGATGCAAATATATATTATACAATGTCTTAATAAAGACGGAAGTCTGTTTGACTTTATTTTCTCTAAAAGACTGGTTGTTGCTGCTGACATCTCACTGGGGAGGTTACCGTAGCAATGATCTTATAAACTGGGCCAAAACTGCAGTAATGTACTATAGAATATATGTTTATTTAGTTTATTTAAAGTGTTTGTTGCAAACTGTGACAGACATCTCACTGCTCTATCTACTGTGCTAATTTCAATATAGATTGTATTTCCTTTCACAAACCTTAAATAGTCACGATTAGACATTCATAAAACCTGTCAAACACACTTAAAGCATCCTCAGACCTGAAATCTATTGTAAGATGGATGTTTGTGCTGTTTGCAGATGGAGGGAAGGCTCAGGCCTGTCCTTTCTGCCACAGGACGCTCCCGCGCACAGCTCTCAGGGACCACATCATGTTCTGTCGGGAGCAGGACGAGGGGCCCATGGTCTGCCCCCTCTGTGGATACACTGCCACCCTCAGGTCACACATGGAACGGCACCTCACATTGCACAGCCAGCTTCAGGAAAAAGTATGATTCTACAAAGCAAATAAACACAACATTCTATTTTAACAATATGACCACAACTAATAAGGCATGTTGTTTTTCTTTCAAGAGTGCTATTACATTGGATCAAGGCGCAGAGACGAGGAAGTTCAAATGCCTTCAGTGTGGGAAAGCGTTCAAGTACAAACACCACCTCAAAGAGCATCTCCGCATCCACAGTGGTGAGCTCTCATTACTTTGTCACCCGTAGTGCTTGATTGCTTTCACTAAATTACTTTTATGCTCCATTGTGTCAGCCTCTAAAAACTAATCAGTGACATATGTACTTCGACTATGGTTAAAGTCACTGGTTTTTATATAGTCCTTTTCTGTTAGAATAACAACTGTTTTAAATACAATTGAAATAATGTTGAAAGTGTTGAACAGAAAAGTATATTATATTTGCACTTTGGATTTGGATTTTGACCTTGATTGATCAATTGTATGCTAATTTAAAACTCACATATTTATGTTTTATCATATCATGCTTGTCTGGAAAGTGTGTGTAATCACAAATTAAAGACACTTTTCTGTCATCACTTCATATGATAGACAATACATTATTCTATTTAATCATTCACAAAATCCTCAGACAGGTCACTTCCACCATTTTTGTTAAACAACAGTTTTATACCAATTTAACCACAGTTTGTGAAGAAAGGCGGGAAAATATGTTTAACTTTAAAGTGACTTTATAGATAAGGTGTATTAAATTATAATATTATGTATTATATTCTAATTTGACAAATAAAGCTTTAAATCTAAAACACGCTTCCAACTTCACATTTTGTAAAATATATAATTTAAATTTAAATGGTCATTATCTCTGAAGCACAAAAACAAACAATATAAAACATTTGAGTTTAAACAATCATGAAACAAAACACTCAATGTCAGAATTTGAAACTCAGTATTAAACTCAGTTTGTTAATATGTAATAAATATAATGATGATAATTGTGTGTTAGTGAAAACAAAAGAATAGTTTAATGCAGGGCTCTCAAACACGCAGCCCTCGACTTGACGTCACAGTTTCTGGGAGGATATGGCGTATCGTTAGCCTTATATCGTTAGCCTTATATCGTTAGCCTTATATTGTTAGCCTTATATCGTTAGCCTTATAGTATGATTGCTTAAGACATGTTATTAATAATTGTAGTTTTGTTGTTTGTTTTATTTTTATTTGTTAAAAATAAAAATAATGATGCTATAAGGTTAATGATGATATATAATTATAATGTATTATTTATATTACTCTAAACCCTTTTTTCTATCAGCCTAGCAGTTCTTCTTGAACCAAACAGTTTTGAATAATATTAATTACTCATTTTAATAAAAGTTTAGTCAAAAAAAAACATCAGAATAAAAAAAATCCATGTGCCAATACACAGTGTATCTGAAACATGTTTTAAATATACTGTACCCCTCTCACCCAGATTGGACTCTAGCGGCCCCCAGGTAAATTAAGATGAGAAGCCCCTTGTCTGCCATGCAACACTTAATGTGGACAGATTTACAGTTTCATTGATTGTCATTTATTTATAACTAATACTCCACGTTTTCTACTTCAGGTGAGAAGCCTTACGAATGTTCCAACTGCAAGAAGCGTTTCTCACACTCCGGCTCCTACAGCTCTCATCTGAGCAGCAAAAAGTGCCTCAGCAGCGGAGGAGGAGGAGGAGGAGGAGGAGGAGGGGGCAGCAGCAACGGAGCCGGTGGAGCTGCGTTTAACGGCCACAGCCCCGTGTTTCAGGTCTCGTTCCAGAACTCTCTCTCTGCTGGCGGAGTGAGAGAAGCTAACGACAAACAGGAGAGCAATAACCACTTCCCGAGGCCGGCAGATCTGGGCCGAATGTGGGACCCCCAGTCGGAGCTCGCTCTGAGGGCCAGCATCCTCAAGGGTACCACTCTCCTGCCGTATCTCAACTCGGGAACCAAGTTTGAGCAAGTTCTGCAGAAGATGCTGAACAGGGAAGTGAAGAGGGAAGAAGAAGCGGGTGTGAAAATAGAGGATAAGAAAGACGCACATAATGAGGGAGTAGAGAAAGAAGGCATTGGGGTACCTTGTCGGTTTTGTTCTCAGCTTTTCCCAAATTTAGCCGTTCTCTTGCAGCACGAGCGGTACCTCTGTAAAATGAACCGCGAGGAAACGGAGAACGGAAAACCGCACCAAGTCGCCAACGGCCTTTCCTCCAACAAATCGCCTTCGCCCAACTGGCACTCAGTCCCGCAGCAGCTTCTAGTCGCGGTCCACTCCCCGCCTCAGGTTCCCTCACGGCTGCCGTTTTGGTCGGCCCAGGACAGAAGCAGCCCGGCAAAGATGCTCCACCGTTCGCCCAAACCCATGACGCCTCAGAGCAGGAAGAACACGCCCGGGTTTGGTTCTCCTCCGTGTCTTGACCTCACCAACTGCCCGCCTGAACTGCTCTCCCCCAGAAACCAGAGCGAACCCCTGGACCTGTCCATGCCCAAGGAAAGCAAAAGCAAAACGCCCAATCGTGCGGCAAGCAGAGGGGAGAAAAGGGAATTCCAACAAATCAGCAAATTAAGCCCAAGTCAGCCTGCGTTTGTGCCTTTGCCTCAGCACCCAGGTTTTCCCGGGGCACCCATGTTTGCCAGCTCTGTGTACAGTGCGTTTCCTGTCTTCAACCAGTCCGGTTTGGGACATGAGGGAATCGCTCCGCTTCCCTTTGGTCAACCAGCGAGTAGCCCCGGCTTCCTGTCTCCTGTAGCTTACATGATGGACAGTGAGGCAGAGGCGGCGCTCAAGAAGATCCACCATGAGAGACAAGCGCTCATGGTAAGTCTGCAGAAAATCCTCTATTGTCGATGATGGATCTAAACATTAATGTGGGTGTTTTATAGGGGGAGATGATTAGCCGCGGTGGTCTAGATTACCTCTCCCTAATGGACGATGGTTTTGATGGTGAAGGAGGAGCCAGCAGGAAAAGACTGAAGAAGACAGATGAAGGACTTTACGCCTGCGATATTTGTGACAAGACGTTTCAGAAAAGCAGCTCGCTTCTCCGGCACAAATACGAACACACAGGTTTGTAGCATTTAGGATTTGAATATATAAACTTCATTATTTCACAATGTTACTTTATCAGAGTGAATTTACTTCTGAATCCTGAATATTGAAATATTTGTCCTTTCGAGGTTGCTGCATCTATTTATCTAAATTCTTTACTTCTTTACTAATTTTAGTATAGAGTTATTCTTCATTTATGTTTTTTATATGTGTTTTGTACTCCTCATTCTTACTGTTCTGTAACTGGAAACGCAACACTGACATTTCCCCACTGTGGGACAATTCATCTTAATCTGATTTTTTAAATACACATTTACAATCTTTATTATTATAGTTAACTAGCATAGAGATTCTCAATCTTATCAGGCCAAGACCCCAAAATAGACATTCATACATTCATATACATTCATATAAATGTTGTTGTTTTGGGTCAGTTTTTGTGCTATTTGATCTAATATTACTTAAAAAATAATGATTGTGTCAAAAATATAATAAAGAAGTTGTAAAAACTTTGCAACCCCCCACGGTGACTCTCGCTTTTCAGCAAGAAGGTCCTGGGTTCGAATCCCGGTTGGAACAGGGCCTTTCTGAGTGGAGTTTGCATGTTCTCCCCGTGTCTATGTAGGTTTCTTCCGGGTGCTCCCCTTTCCCCTACCAAAAACATGCACAATAGGTACTGTATGAATGTAAATGAGAGAGTGAATGGATGGTGTTGATTGGGGGCTGATGCACCAGTGTGTTCGGTGACTCGCTTCTGTCATCACCGTGTGTGGAAGGATTGGAACAATATCTGAACTCTGAACATTGTAAAGCAGTTTGGGTGACCTTGATCTGTAAAATGCGATATATAAATAAACATTACTTACTTACTTACTTTAGGAATCACTGTACGCGAGTACAACCAGACACTGTTGAATCCCACTTAACATTCCAGTTATTTGTCAGTTTGAAGGTTTATTATATTATTCTATAAGTTTTAATATCTGTTTATGTTTTAAAATAAGGTCAGTGGGAATATAAACTGGATTCAATGTGCTAACAGTATCAATCAATCAAAGTTTATTTGTAGAGCGCCTTTCATACACAGGGCAACACAAAGCGCTTCACAGTCCACATCACAAATCATCACATAAAACAAACACTAGAATCACAATTAAAACATCAAAATCACACAAAAGATTAAAACCATTAAAACTTTGGAATTGAAAAATAATAAAAATAAAAATAACAACAGTGCATTAGAAATGGAGATAAAATCCTTCAGTTGTATGCACAGGCAAACAGAACAGTCTTTAACCTGGATTTGAACATTGACAGAGTGGACGCCTCTCTCACATTTTCAGGGAGATTGTTCCAGATCTTAGCTGCATGGATCTGAAACGCAGCCTCCCCATGTTTGGTTCTCACTCTGGGCACCAGCAGGAGGCCAGTCCCTCTGAACTAGACTAAGGAAATCTACAATCTTTAAATGTCTGCTCAAGCTTAACAATAATACACTGTAAAGATATATGTAGAACAGACTGAAACAATATGTTGTGTTTTCTCTTCCAGGCAAACGTCCCCACGAATGTAAAATCTGCAAGAAGGCCTTCAAACACAAGCACCACCTGATCGAGCACAGCCGCCTGCACTCCGGAGAGAAGCCCTATCAATGTGACAAGTGCGGTAAGCGCTTCTCCCACTCCGGCTCCTACTCCCAGCACATGAACCACCGCTACGCCTACTGCAGCAAGGACCAAGACCCCGACCAGGACCCCGACGACATGCCCCTCACCCCAGGCACCGGCAGCAGCTTCGGCGGGCGCCTGGGGGACTCCGAAGACACGCCTTTGTCCTTGGAGGAGACTCAGACCCCTCATTCATTCCTCAGCGACTCCAGCTTGGACGGGGCCATGGAGCCGATGAAAGAGGAAGAAGAGGAGGAGGAGGAGTTGATGGATGACGCAAATGGCGTACAGGAGTCCCCGACGAGGAAAAAGGGACAACTGAATGATGTAAACAGTCGTCATGTGGAAATGGACGCGCAGGACTTAAACGGAGACGCGGACAAATGTGAATTGGAGTTAGACACGACGGATTCGCAGTTGCAAAGGATAGAAACTAGTGACGACCTCTGAAGCCATTTCAATGCATAGACTGTACATATGAACTACTTGTACTTGTTACTCTTATTTAAACACCCAAATGAAGCCATACATACAATGTGATCACGCAAATGTATAGAAACCATATTATGATGCAGTATTAAAGGGGACATAACATGCATAGTTGACTTTTCATAGCATCTGATTTACACGCTCTATGCCGTGTCTTTACTGAATCTATTGTGATACGAGAGAGACTCAGCAGAAAAGCAGAGAAATAAATCAACTGTTCGCCAACTTCATCTGTGGTCGTTGCGGAGACGGCGATTCCTTTGATGTGACCACATTTCCGCTGAGGGCGCAGCGCACAAATCCATCTGACAGGACTGATCATGGACGTGTGTGGACGTGGTTCTGTTAAAGCATTGTTTTAGTTCGATATGAAACTGAACGTTTAATAATGGGCCACAAGTGCCGTAGGTTTACAGCAGATAGAAGCATGTTATGTCTTCTTTAAGCACGGCTCTCTCACCAATGTGCCAAGCTTCCTGCCAACTACAAATGAGTTAATTTGCAAAAAGAGATATCTCCGTTTTGAAAATGTGTCAAAAGAGTTCCACACAGGGCCTTTCTGAGTAGAGTTTGCATATTCTCCCCGTGTCTGCTTAGGTTTCCTCAGGGTGTTCCGGTTTGTCCTACCACTAAAAAACCAAAACCATAGTCCCCCATAACACCATCCCCACTCCTACACACTCATCAAATCAACATGGTTTGTAAGTGGAGGTACATTTGAAAGTATTTGCTCAAGATGGGGTGAAACTGTATTTGTATGGCACTAACATATATCTGTATCAAAAAACTAAGTGGTAAAGAGCAAATTATAAGCTTTTCTGATATTTTTCTAATGTCCCTTATCTGTTTTTGCAAAATAACTATTTATATTTGGACAACAGGAAGGAAGTCTATGTTTATTGTTACTAACATGTTGGGCTGCAGGATTTTGTCACAATGTCTCAGTGTGATTTCAAATGTGTGAGTTGTTTTGGGGGAGAATCAAAGATATTGTTCTGTGTCACTGTGGACGCTTTGAAGAAGACTGCTATTACCTTTTCAAACCACTGGGGAAAAATCACATTCATTTCAGAAAGTGGCAGGAATAATTTAGCTATTTTATCCATTTAGTTATATAGCATATTTCATAAACAAACTGTTCCAAAGTGCTGCACAAAAGCAAGATCAAACACAATATGAAGTTTGCTAATTATATAATAAAAAAAAGAAATCAACATAATTTAAAAAGGTATGTAAAAGTAAAACACATTTTAGAAATTTCCCTCATTGGTCAAATTCTAACAATAAACGAGAGATCCTTTAATCGTCTCAGTGGGGAAATTTCAGTGTTGCATCACACGATAGAAATGAGGAGCACACAATGACAAGATAAGTGAATATTATGTATATCACAACTCTATAAAGTTACAATATGGTCCAATTTCTGTATAGTTTTGTAGTTTGCAAAGAACTAATAGTAATTACTGATTTCAAACCTGCATCACAGTGTCACATTCATAAACAGATTTTGTTTGAGCATAATCTTGGAGCCTGAACTAAAACAGCCTTAAGTGTCATTTCCTTGTATCTAAATATTGCATAAACACACACGCTTCGAAAACGTCTGGTATCAACCATGCTGTGAAAGCACGTCACTTATGAGACCCATAAAACAGTGTTAAAAATGATTATTTATTGTTGTAAGCAAGTAAGCTGCCTCTTCTCAAATATTTGAAGTATTATTTTTTTTGCAGAAAATACAGTATCACTATTTTTCTGCAAACAAGTATTTTTATATCTTTATTGTGAGCTTCGAAACATTGGGAGCCGCGAGTAAGTTGCACATTTTGATATTTTTCTCAGTGTGAACTTCCTTTTTTCGACTGATTGAACAAAGCTTTGGTGCCTGATGTGGTACCTGATGTAGTACCTGATGCGGAGCCTGATGTGGAGCTCGCAGCACTTCTCTGCACCTGTGACTCGCTCGTTTTCTACCTACCAGTATTTTAACAGCACAATGCAAATTTTTGGAGGTTTTTATTGTCTTTGTACCTTTTGCATATTGTCAATTTTGTAATAAAATTGTATATATTTTGCCATTTGAACTTTTTATGGGTTTCACTTCAACCAAACAGAATTATTAAAGCTGTGGTACCTCACTTTTTTCATCATACAATACACGTTTTCCTGAGTGGTGGTGGTCTTGATCTGATTAAAAGATGTTTTCAGAGCAAGGAACTAAGGTTAAATCGATATCGACATAGTTTAATTAACTGTGGTTTTAAAATTATGTACCTCACTGTTACCTCCTGTTATGTGTGTGTGTGGGTGTGTGTGTGTGTGTGTGTGTGAGAGAGAGAGAAAGAGTGTGAATAATACAATATAAAACAAAGCTCTATTCTAGTTCTATTTTACCCAGAGTTTACAAGAAGAGTTAAACAATTAATGATGGATTTTCAAATTTGGCACATTATTACTAACTGCTTCTCTTTAACACTTGAGAAACAGGCTCCTGTAAATATAAACGATGAAAGCGTATATACATGTGTAGTGAAATGACTGTAGTTCTGCTCACGTTACACGCAGGGAAAGCCCCTGAAGCCGGGCCTGTGAAGCTTTCATTTGTGCAAAATTCTTCTGCAGAATGATTGTTTTATTCACCACAGAACTATAATCACAAACTGGTAAACAGCAGTAACTCAGTAATGACACATTTCTGATATTTGTAATGTGATATATCAGACACATGTTGAGCTTTGGTGGATTTAAAAGCATTGACACAAGGATTTGGAGACATTTTGTATAATATCATCAACTTTGTGCAGTCCTTTGAGACGACTGCTGTTGAGGTTTAGGGCTATACAAAAATACTGCACATTGACTTAAATCAAAATTTGCAGAAAAAGCTCAACTATAAATGCTTTCACAAGTGAAAATTAAGCAGATAGAAGCATGTTATGTCTTCTTTAAGCGCAACTCTCTCCCCAATGCTACAAATATGGATAACAGGAAAGAAGTCTATATTTATTGTCACTCATAAGGAGAGCTGCACGGTTTTGTCGCAATATTGAATATATAGCCATTTTTCGGGACAAACATTGCGACAAAATTTGCAATTTATGTTTTGAAGGCAAAAAAAGGTATTCTGCTGTGTCATTGTGGACACTCCAGGAACATCCACACTTGAAATGATACAGTTTACTGTAAAAAAATCTTTGATTTAAGAAAGTAGCAGGATTAATAATAATACTTTTATCCGATCCAATAAACTATAAAGTTACGGTACATTATAATTCGTTTTCAAAATTCTGTGATACATTAACAAGATAAAATATATTGTATTATAGTAAAATAGAAACAAAATATATCTGTCCAACATATCACACAAATGAAACCTAAAACATATATACTGTCTAAGTAAACTTGCTTAAAGATATTTTAGTAATCATCCTTATTGATCAAAGTCTCAGGAGAGTCTTTAAGTCATATATGCCAATCTGCAGAAAAAGCAGAAAAGAGAATGAGGTTTTTCAGCTCAAACAGAAACACTTCCACACACCAAAACTAAGTAGAAGTAAGTGCGCAGAGATGCAGCGATGGTTTCTCCCCGACGCTCGGCTCAAACGTTTCATCAGACCATAAATCACAAATCTGTTGTTGTAAGCAAATCTCCCATTGCTCAGAGCAGTGCCGCTCTATTGTCGGCATTCCACTTTACATTTCCTTACATCATCTCTCATTACAGACTGTTTGCTATCAATTAAGATACAATTAGTGTTTCATGATTAAAATAACACAATATTAATGAGGCGAGAAGAAAGGGAGGAAATACAGCGTGTTGTAATCGCGTACAACACAACCAGACTGATTATGAAGAGTCTATTCACTTACATCAATGCAGCAGGAGGGAGAGATATAGACGCTATACTTCTATTTTAGTAATCTTATGAATTTTATGTCAAAGGCAATTCAAATGTGTCTGCAGGCTCAACATTAGTCACGCTTCAATATCGACAATAAATATATCAATATACGAACAGTTAAAATCAGTGGTGAAAACTGCATTACCGTAATTGCCGGACTATAAGCCGCTACGTTTTTCATGTTATTTAAACTCTTGGCCTAAAAAATGGATGCAGGTAATGAATGTAGTTTTGATGTGGTTTCTGTGTCATTGGCCCTGTGTCATTGGTCCTCTGTGTCATTGGCCCTCTGTGTCATTGGCCCTCTGTGTCATTGGCCCTCTGTGTCATTGGCCCTCTGTGTCATTGGCCCTCTGTGTCATTGGCCCTCTGTGTCATTGGCCCTCTGTGTCATTGGCCCTCTGTGTCATTGGCTCACTGTGTCATTGGCTCACTGTGTCATTCAGTTCAGCTCTGTTTATAAAATTCTTTCAGACATTTTTGACAATTCATAAACAGTTTCAGGAACTTGGGGAAAAAGGGTCAAAATAAAGTCTGAAAAAAGGAATAAGGAGAAGCTACAGCCTTTAAAATACGGTAAAGTGGCCCTCGTGCTATAACATTTTGGACACCCCAGGTTTATGTGAACAGCAGAGAGCCAACACGGGGCGAAGCACATCATCCAGGTTCAGGTAGCTATAGAACGCTCATCTTAAATAGATAAATGGTTAAGAAGTCTTGGTTGGGAAGCTGAATGTTTGCCTCTTCAGAGTTCACTGTGTTATTTACCTAAAGCTTTGATCATCACGAGTCAACAGTGCATTGTTTTGCTCCATCAGCCGTTGGTTAGGTGATACTGTATATTACAACATGAAAACTGTGGCATATATTAAAATGTGGCCTATATGTGGGCAAAAAATGTAGCCGTTGCAGTTTATAAACAGGTGTCGGGCATAACTTTCCATTTCTACCTCCCCTCCTGTTTGATTTGTCCCTTTTATTTTCAAATGTATTTACAAGAAATTCTGATTGACCCAAACAAACACAATAGAGACTGTTTTAACTGGACACAACATGATTTAATGATGATGATCAAAGCACTCTGGTAAATTTAATCTGTGTTGACAAAAACAGTCCCACTAAAATTCCTACAACTAGTTCTAACTCTGTGCAGTCAGAGCGTCCATAAACTCTGTTCTGACATTTGCCCTCATCAAATAATCAAATCAAAAAATCCTGTGTATTTCCAACACTTCCTTGTGTCGTGTCGGTTCTCTACTGTTCACATAAACACACAGAGGGAGCATTAACAAAATAAAATGAGAAAAAGCTGTGGAAAATTAAAGTTGGAATACCTAAATATATCTTTGTTTCGGAAATACATAGTTTTTCCCATAATAAAGTCTTGTTTACGTAACCTTTTGAGAACAAATCAGACCACAATGTCCCGTCTCCATGATCTAATTACAATACATTTAATCTTTTATCCTTACCGAGGACAAACAAGACATATGAAAAAAGAATCTTAACTAAACAAAAGTGTTTTGAGAGTGGTGAGAGTTTACAAGTCTTTCCACTCGATTTGATAATTTGCAAATGAAGTAAATACTGTACGTTAGTATTTACTGTATGAATGTATTCTTTTGTTTGTATGAACTATGTTTGTTTGAATGAACGAAAAACATAAAAGAGTTAGTTACATGGATTATTATTACAATCATTTTTTGTAGTTTCTAAGTTAGGTACTCCAGCTTTAAGTTTGAATACCCCTGTAATATCTATCTAATATAGAATCTGTTTAATTTGAAGTAATGTAGTGTCTATTACCTAGAACTAAGCCTGGGACTCACATCTGCATAAATACACAAGCAGCCACTGACACAATCAAATCTGTAATCTAACTTCATAGATCACCGCGGACAATCTCTTGGCTCAAATAAACAGATGTGGTCGCTCGACTCGGTTGAAATTATAACTCTGTCCGTCAAGTGAGTGTCGACGCACAGAGCGATCAAAAGCCCTGCACATCACTGTCCCGTCCGCTCGCACTCACACCACCGCGTACATAAAAATGAATAAATACTGCTAATAAAACTCAGCACAATCTTCAAGCCCTTTCTTCCCTGGTGCCTCTTTCCTGATCTTTTCGTCTCCTGCCAAACCCACAGTCAATATAAAATTACCCAGGCCGCAGAGTGAGAGGCTTTTGTTGAGGGGAAAAAAAAGAAAGAAAGAAAGAAAGAAAGAAAGGGAGGGAGGGGTGGTGTGGTGGAGGGGATTCACATATTTGAAAACATATGCATTTCCAGTTTCTTCTTTTGTTCTCTTATTAAAAGCAGCATTTCCACCAATCACAGGGGATGCTTTGGCCTGCATACCTACACACACGGGCTCAGCAAGAGAAAAGATGGAGTCGGTTCAGGCTGGTTTATTGTAGGGTGAAGAGTGCAGGTGGAGTCTATAAACACAGACAGTTATCTACAGCATTGCTAAAGACGCACCATAGACAAAAAAGTGCAAGTAGGTTCATACAGTATTCCCATATTTACATTAAATTAGCATAAAGGGATTTGAACATTGAGGATAAAATAACACAGGTCCACATATAGTGACTAGTTTGGTCTGCTTGGCACAATCGTCCCATCTGTATACTTTGAGTCTATGTTTACGGCCGCTCTGCTTCCTGTTGGTTTGCATATTTCATGGTATATTCAGTGCTTCACAGTGCAATGGTTCAGCCAAGTTTAGCTCCCTCCTTTTTCGACCGTTTCTATGATTTAAAAGTGCTACGTCATGTGTTTTTCTGCACCGCAATCCTATTTCTTTGGACGGCTGAGACTGGTTTGAGGCTTTTGTAAAAGGTGCACTACGTTACTTGGCTGCGTGGGGAAGGGGCCTGCTTTTTGTTTGGGTCCGTCTAAAAGTTGTCAAAAATAATTGGAAAGAATCAAAGCCTACTTTAAAGTTATTATCGAAACTATATACTTTTTGAGCAAGTGCTGATACTAAAATGACTTACACAAGACAGAATTTGATATTTCTTCAGCATTTCAAGAACACATTTGTAAAAAAAAAAAAAGTGTATAGTCCTAAGACTAATTTGGGATAAATGTTAATTCTTATTTTCCAAAAAGAGCATCTATAAATGAATTGTAGTGGTATCAGTTGAGTTTAATTAGTTCAGTGTCTAATTCATTATTGGGTATTTTTTCTATTGTTTGAAAAGTTGTCTAAATGTGTAGTCTTGTCTTTAATGATTCATGATATGGCGTTATACTTTCCAACTACATTCAAAACATGTAAGCGACTTCACAAGGCTAAATTACAAATTGATCTGCGGAGAAGATGATCTTGGGTTCGAATCCCGGTCAGCACAGTGGGACTTCTGTGTGGAGTTTGCATGTTCTGTCTGTATAGGTTTACTCCGGGCGCTATGGGTTCCCCTTAAAAACATGTGCAATACCCACCCCCACCCTTCTAACTTATAAAATCTCAGTGGGACTTTCCTGGTTTCATTTTTACTTATTATTTTGTTTAATGCTCTATTATCTTAAATAATAGATCCTATTTGATGTGTGCATCTTTTTTTCTACCCAACAATGACATTGAAATTTCCCTTCCGAGGGGCAAATAAAGGATTATCATATCTTATCTTATGTTCTGAAGAAAGTTCCACATTATATTCTATAAAGATCTTCATTATAAGAAAATAAATATCATTACACGCAATTCTACCAAGACGGCGCCAGTTCTGGGAATTATTTTTAGTAAAATAAACACAAATTTTGTATTTAATCTTTAACACTATGTAAAAGTATGTAATTGAGAAGGTAAAAGAAAGTTGGTCATAACTGAGATACAGCAACAAACAAAAAAGAGTTACTGTTAATTTGGACTATAAGAAAACTACTTTTTTCACTTTGTATGTACTTTAGGATATATTATCGTTGTGTATTAGAGTTTGGCTGTGAGTTAATGTTTGCCTCCTCAAGTCAACAGTGCGTTAAAACACCATTTAATAATGTTGTGACCAGTTTAAAAAGTTGTGGACGGCTTATATTCAAGTGTGGCCTTTATGTGGACAAATTTATCTAGTGCGGTTTACAGTATATTGTAATTGAAAAGCTACTGAAAGCTAACTGCGGCTAATAAACGTTGTGTTGGTGGTGGTAAACCAGCCCTGGCACCGGACCAGAACCAGCACCTTGGTGGAAAAGGGGAAAGCCGATAACTGGGAACAAAGCTGAGCAGAAAAGTTGAGCAATGCACCTCCATCTCTTAAATGACTGCAGTTGTGGTCTTCATCACTTCACTGCTGTATGTGGTTCATCAGTGCTTTGACACTTGATATAGCAGCAGGATTGGCCTGCTCAGTCCAACATGCAGAGGTCACCCAAAGTATTGTAGTTGCATAAAAAACATTTTATAAAACATGATAGGAGTCAAGAGAAATACATGTTATCTAACGACATCCCTCTGCAGTATTTACAATAGTTATTTTACTGACTATAATAAGTTTCTGGAATCGTCAATAACAGTGGCTCAGTGGTTAAAAGTGATTAACACTTGATCGGATGTTGGTTTGATCCCAGTTTAAAAGTCCCAGAGCAGTTTGATTATAGTTTGACCCGAGTCTGATCCTGGTCCAGCGTTAGTTTCATGGTGTGTACAGTAGGACAGTGTGAATGAGAATGAAGAAATAAAACTCTGTCTAGTTCGATCCCAGCTCCGGCCGATGCCTTCTGCCATTGAGTCCTTTGGCAAGACGTGTTTAAAGTGTAAAACAAAAACAACAAAGTTAAAGGCAGAAAAGGCTGCATTTTCATGGAGACGATCTAACGGAAAGCTTTTTGACCAGACCTGAGGACAAGGAAATATATGGCTTTAAAAAAATCCTAATCAAGTTTGCTCCAAGGAAAGATAAAAAGGGGAGACAAGGTAGTCTTTTCCAGCTGCAGTGTCCGCACATGTGCAGTCAGAGACACGCGCGGCAGCTAGCTAAATTTGGCATGTTTTTTACTATTATTGTTTTAACATGACTTTATATATGGAGGCCAGATGTCATGATTAGCAGCTTTCTGTCCTGGTTCTTTTTCACCCCGTAATTATCTTTTGATGTTAAATCCATTTTACGCCAAATGAGACCTCGGTTAGACGGAGGTCGGATGCTGCTCCCCTAGTGCGTTTTTTTTTTTTTTTTGACATCAAGAAAAGCCTCGTGTCCCAAAGATGTGTTCATATTCGCTGAGAATGAGCTCCACGGCTTGATTCTGGTAGACCATGTTGATGGCGATGTTGCCGTTGTCCCGCTCCGGTCGCATGAGGGTCGGTCCGAAGACTATGCCAATGTTTTGGGTGGTCATTCGGTTATAGTTGGAGTGTTCCAGCACGCTGCAAGAGAAATACAGAATTTGTGTTACTTAGAAAGGAGATTTTTGTGTTTGGCAGATTGGCATACGCGTGTAAGCAAGTCAAGATGTTACAATAACAGTGAGTGCTTGGTTTGAACTGGAAAAATGTTGAAGGATGTACAGAAAAAGGTGTGGTTGACAAACTGTGAAGCTGGTGTTGATTACGAGATTATTATTGTTTGAAGAAAAGAGGAGAGTGCATTGAGTTGGCTCTTGTTCGATCTTCATGCATTTCTAGCCCTATCATTACTGCTAAAGATGATGAGAGATTTATTTAAAAGAGACATATTATGCATAATCGAACTTTGAGAGATTTCGATCATGTTACAACAGTGTTCCCTCATCAAAAAACAGACCTAGAGTTTTTTTTAGATCCATCCTGATGTCAAGAACGTCTGGCACAAACAAAAAACAAACAAACCCTTTCTGTTTGTTATTATTGAATTTCCAGTGTTCAAACCGTTTGATTTACTGATCTTTTGAAAAGTCCTTCAAGATGACTGCTGATGTGATTGAGGGCTATACAAAAATAAATAAAATTAAATGAAAAGTATGATGTTTTTGTACCACTATGACATCTCACTCTGTTTCTGCCGTTCAAAAAAAAGCATTGTATTTTCTCAAGTGAAATTACATTATTCACAGTAACATGTCAGTGTTTGTAGCCAGTAATTTCAAAATGTGTAAAAACAGCAAAGCAAAAAATGTCTTCACATTCTTAAAAAATGAAACCAAGTCTCATTCTCTTGTTTTATCATTTCTAATCAAAAGTGAGGACCACTGAACAATGGAAACTTGGTGGGAGGGCCAAGAAGACAGGCATAAAAAGTCCCAGTTTTATAGACTGTATGTAATTGTGGCATATGAAGAATATGTATCTGATCTTGAACCATATAAAAGTATTGCGGTGCGCCACCAGACAAAATCATTAACCTATAAATAAGAACCAATGGGGCCCTAAAAGAACCCAAAACAGCCTTGTGTGAAGGTTTAATTTGCAGGTTTGTTTGTCCCAGGTTTCCGTACTATTTCTGCCCCAACATCTGCCTAAATATGTGCGTGTCATAGTGTCGCACGGCTATATTTTACAGCCGAGATGTGCTGCGTATGTATCCACCTACAGCGCGGTGTGTGTGATTTGCTATCCGACAGGGGGGGTGCAAAGGAACGGGTTAAAACCACAGCATGAGGCATTCTTCTAAAAATGCCATTCCCACCAAGCCACAGGAGCAGCCAGCAATTGCTCAAAACTTCCACATTAAAAAGAGTGGAGGAAAAAGCGAGAGAAAGGGAGGGGGGGTGTAAGCGAGGGACAGGGTTGGGAAGAGAGGGAGAAAGAAGCGAGGTTCCAGTGGTGGCGGCGGCGGTGATGGTATGCCTTCCAGCAGACGAACCACAAGGCTCCCACAGGACTTTCGAGGCAAAGAGCGGAGAGCCACAGAGAATGAGGAGGAGGGGGACTTTGAACAAACGTGCATAGGAAGGAAATTAAGGTGGCAAGTGAGCAGGAGACATGGCGACGAGAGCGATTAAAAACCTAGAGATTACACACAAAAAATCTTGAGAGTGAGGGATTGGAATTGCTGTTGTGTTGGGTGTTTGGGGGGGGAGGAGGGAAACACACAAGAGTTGACAAATTCATGGCCTCTTCCAGTTCCACCACACCCTGGCACAGAGACAGGCCTGCAAACACGAACGCTCAACCCCTGCAGTGGAAGGAAAAACCAAAAGGCGGTAAAAAACACACACTTTATGTACTGTAAAGGGAACTGGCTCGCAAAACTTTGTACATCATTCATCCTCCTCCAGGCGTTTCATCTTCGCTGAGGCCATGGGCTTAACAGCAGTGTGATCCCAGAACGACCAGACATACTCCAGCGAGCCACAGACAGAGGCAGAGGAAGCTGAGGAAACTGCCCCCTCTTGTGGTCAGGGCTTTAAATAACTTTTCAACAAGAGCGTAGTGGTAGCATCTTGTTGAATACAAAACGAAAATGACTTATTTGATCATGATTTTGTGTGTGTATTATCAACATGATCCAAAAGTTTCTGTATAAAAATGATACAAATGGATGATGAATGAACAAAAATCCTGCTTTGTAGATAAAATAAAGCTAAAGGCGTTACAGCTATTTACAGCTAGTTATGAAGCATTGCAGCTACTTATTTTGTATATTTTGAGTACAGTTACTACTGTCCTGTATGTGCGCCGTAACATCTACTTTTCTTCACTGCAGGATGAATAATTATTATCTTAGTTTAGTTTAGTTTATTGAGCCCTTTGACGTATGCACATTACAAGCAGATTATTATACAGAAGGCTCAAAAGTAGTGCACAGAAGCAAAAATGCCTTTCTGGTCCTATCCCTTTCAACATTGGTAGGCTGGTAGCACACTTTCATTATTAGAATTTCATCAATCATTTAATCACAACAAAAGTATTGTAAAAATTAGACAAAGTTCTCGTGCCTCATCATATATTGTGACTTTGTATGAAGTATAAAATAAGACCTGGATCTTCCACAGTATGGCATGTATATTCATATAACATGGGAAGGCACCATTTCAGATTCCAAAAATCTGGAACTGCTAAACTGCTCTGTTTAGCTGTAATTTTAACTGAAGGAATTTATCTACACTCTTTTTGATGTATTGTGATTCTTAATGCCCGCTTAAATTGCCTTGTAAAAAGTATTCTACTGTAGCTTCTATTGTTAAAGCACTTTGAGTTGCCTTGTGTATGAACTGTGCCCTACAAATAAACTTGCCTATTTTATAGACAGAATGTTACTTTATATTTGAACCCAAGCAGGTCTGTCATAGTGAAGTGACCTTGAGTGTCCAAAAAAGCTTTATAAAAAATATCAATGCATTCTTGTTAGTAAACCACGAGCTAAAAAAGTATACATACTTGACCCCTATTGAGTTACAATTCTGTCACATACTGCAGCTCTTTCCTAATGCAAAAGTTACTACAGGAGTATGAAATGTTGCTCGCACATACATATTAACAGTACCACACCACAAGTTCCACAGGTTGTGCTTCTTTGTGTCTTGTTCTCACCGTCTGAGATGGCGACACATGAACAGCAGCGTGTCGTGGTTCGGTGGCGGCATGTTCAGCAGCAGCACCTTCAGACGCTCCACTTTGTCGAAGTAATCCGTCATCTCTGCCACACAAACATCACTGTCATCACTACTATCAGGCCATTTGCTCTGATAACAAAATCATCTTCGCATCTTGAGCAACTATCATCCATCATCAAACAGAAGCCTTAAAACAAAAGATTGTATGGTGACAGGCTTGAAAATAGGATTAAAATGCGAGAGATTAACATTTTTATTATTAATACTGAATCATGAGCTATCTGTTAGCAAATTAACTTTACAACTATGAACTGCTGTGTACAATTTGTGTGTGTTTAAGTGTGAGTGTGTGTGCGTGCGTGTGTGTGTGTGTGAGTTACAAATGACACTGAACGCTTTACAATAACTGTGTGTCTTCATGTATGTTATGTGAATAATTAAGTTGATTTTTATAGAGATTGAACGCTTGTGTACTCGTGTGTGTGTGTGTGTGTGTGTGTGTGTGTGTGTGTGTGTGTGTGTGTGTGTGTGTGTGTGTGTGTGTGTGTGTGTGTGTGTGTGTGTGTGTGTGTGTGTGTGTGTGTGTGTGTGTGTGTGTGTGTGTGTGTGTGTGTGTGTGTGTGTGTGTCTGGGGTGCGTGAGTGTGAGTATGTGGTTTTTAGAGACCTACTGAACTTTTTCTTTATCAAATAGCGTGAATTTTTTGCAAACTTATTTCTATGATTATGAATATTACACGTATCAGAGGATCTAGTAAAGCTTTGAACAGGTTAAAAAATTAAAACATGTTATAATCGACTTGTTAATTGTTTATTTGTTTTGACTGTGGTTGCATTCACTCACTGACTGTCTCCACGATGTCGGTGAAGAAGCCGAACGGGACCAGAGGCTCGGGAAGCTCTCGGAAGAAGAGTTTCAAAGAGCCGGTGATCACGTGGATGTCCTCCCACTCGGAACCGTCCAGGTCCAGCTTCTCCTCTGAGGAAGGACACACACAGCACTCATCAAGCAGCTTTTGACACAGGAGCGGAGCCACAATCAAGAAAAGGTGAAAGAGACAAGAGCTGCAGAGAGACGTGCTGAAAGAAAGGACAGAACGTGGGTTAAAAAGCATTTGTCTGGACTGACTTTTTTTTTCCTACGCCGCTCTGTACATAAACATATCCATGGCCCTTTTTGTCCATAATTGTTTATTAATATTCAAAATCTTTATTGCTAATGCTGTGTATAGTGTTTTTTAATTATGTACTTTTACCCGAAGAATCAAGAACTACTGTATCTACACATTTTTGGATTTAGAACAATATTCAATTCACCATTTGTCTTTCTTCTGAGAGCTTCCTACATTCCAACTATTTTTCTCGCTAAGCTATTTCCTTATCTCAATATAAATGGTAAATAATATTATAAGAAGACTGAAGCAGGTCCGATGAAAGTTTATCAACAACAAAGTTTGCCAAATCAATCTTAACTGACTAACATGGGCGTTAGTGGGGGCTCGTTCCATTTTGCAAAACACGGAATTGTTGTCAATGCTTGATTATACATCTGTGTTGAATATTTCTAAAATAAATTCTACGTACAGTTAATTCACAGTTGGTAAAAAGATGTAAGATGCAGCACATAGAAAAGCACAGACCAGTGTTTCTCAAATGATGTCACTGCTGGTCCATGAGCTCTTTCTGGAGGTACATCAGTTTCTCTACAGTTCAAACACCATTATATTTTTAACCTATTCATCTTCAGTTATACAGCTTCAGGTAACCCTAATGAGGGCACTAGGGTTCGTTCTAATCAAGAACTACTGCAGAAAGAGTTACACCTCAAACAGTATTGTGTGTATATGATATATGTATGTGTATGATATGGTATGTTATGATGTATATGTATATGTAGGTGTATGCGTGTATACATGTGTATATGTGTGTGTGTGTGTGTATATATATATATAATATATATATATGTGTGTATATGTATGTATATACTGTATGTGTGTATATATGTGTGTATATGTATGTATATACTGTATATGTGTATATATGTGTGTATGTGTATGTATAGATCCCTAATGTATAAGCTTCTGCTTCTGGGAGTTCAATTTTCACAATGTAGCACATGTACTTTTAGGGACTGTGGGAATTGTGAATAAACTAAACAAAAATATATATATTCAAATATAATGCAGAATTAAGTACATTGGTAAAGTTCACACTCAGGGCAAAAACTGGTCCAAAATCAAACTCAACAAAATATCACTAATAATAAATTCTCTCTTGATATTAGCATTTTTTCTTAAAATGCTAAAATCAAGAGACATGCAGAAATGTCTTTTATTAAAGGCAGTATTATTCTCAGTGAGTTTGCAAATTAGCTTAGTTTGCTTTTGCTTGTTCCTGTGTTAAGATAAAAATGACTAAAATTAAGAAAATATAGTTTTTTTTTTTAAAATCCTTTGCTGAGTATCACTGTGTTAGACCAATTTTATCCTTGAACATGACCCAGAAAAGTCCTGGTTTAGACCCGGTACTGGTATGGTGAAAATTAGAACACCAAATGTTTAGCTATGGTTAAACTTAAAAAAGTATAACAGTTATTCTGTAGTGCTTTAATAAAAAGTTTGAGAACGACTGTCATCACACCATCATGTGATCCGAGTTGCGTCCAGTAGGTGGCGACAGCGAAACACACGAAAGCTCTGCACAAACTGGATGCTGAGTTATTACATCAGAAAACTTAAAGCAGAAATGCCTAGGGGACGCACATACACACGCATTAAGCAAATGGTAGCACAACCAGCAAAGACTTGAGAGAGCTGCGGTTCATCTCCCTGTGGTTGTCAGTCTGCGTGCGAGTTTGAACCGAGCTCCTTTTCACATTATGCAACATGCAATGCACAAAACAAGCGGAGTAAACATAAAGCGCTCTGTCTTTGGAGTGGAACAGTCTCGCTCTACCTTGTACAAACTCTGAGGGGAACATGTAACGTCCGTCTGTGGTCACAGCTCGCTCTGCAAAAAGCAACAGTGTCTTGACCCACATGATTGATGAATGTAGGGCAGGCATCTACTATGATTCAATTATTCACACTATATTTAAGCTCATCCAAATTCCCTGTTAAGATCTTTCTCCACGTGATGCTTGGATGGATGGATGGATGTTCGCCCATTGCTCTTCAGTTCAAACATCAAAGCTACGTACCATGGTTGACCCTAAAGCGAAGTTTCTGAATGACTGCTAGATTCCCAGATACTCTGTAGATGCCATCTGCGTCCAAACCTGCGACAAAATGCACAAAATAAGAAACATGCGGTGAGGGAACTTATTATGAATGAGGTAATCATATGCTAAGAAGAGGTAAGAAAACCAACAGTGATAAGTTGTGAGTCAGAACGTGGCATAACAAGCCGTATAAAATGTCTGACTAAATTTCTATTCGATTCTATTCAATGTATTTTTGTATATCTCACAGAAAAAGCAGTAGTAACAAACACATAGGAGTCATTGGTCCATAGGGAGTAGGATGACCAATGTCTAAAAAGGTTAATAAATGTCCAAAAATGTCCTTAAAAGTCCCGGATCATCACTGTCCTTAGACGCTGCATCGGCAAGGATCGACTCAAAAAAATAAACGCTGGGAAAAAAGTGAGACACAAGCTATAGATCCAGGCTGTAGAACGAGGACTGAGGAGGCTCCCAGGCGAGGAGGGGTTGCAGCCCACGAGTCCTGGCCGGAGTAGACAGTCCACAATGGAGCAAAAGTTATTTCTTTGTGAATGTAAAACCACCTAACAAGTGAATAAGGTCCAGTCGTCTTCTCGGCACACCACAATGTAAAAAGAATACATTCAAGTCTACTGATTTGGTATACTTGAATGCTGATTGTTGGTATATTGCTCAACTCTGGCTTTTTATTCCAATAACCAGAGAGCAGGCTATTTAAAAACAACTATTGTACAGATATTGAATATTGACAAGGCCTCAGGAAAGTTTGTTAGATCAGTTATCGGTTCTATGGGTCAAGCCTCACCAATTGAATTTTATATAATACGACCATTTACTGGCTGACACTGTGGTGGTATGGTATGGATTATCTTTTTATACAGAATGAGCTTAATGCAGAGTAAATTACTGCTACTCATATAATTCGTCACATTTTGTAATATGTCGTCTGTGATTCAAGAAGGGGAAAGAGGATTTTATATGGTCATAAAGTATCTGGTCCAGAAACTTTGATCAATAAAAGCGTGCATACTTTGGTGCATCCCTAGTGATCATGAATACAGAAGAGTCAAATGACAACAGTAGCAAATTTTACTAATAAAACATCATATTAAAGGAGCAGTATATAAAATCTGGCCAAAAGAGGTACTGCACTCTGCCTGACTCAGGTTGCCAGATATGCATATGAATCCAGCTGGGACCATAATATCTGACAAATCTATAACCAACACCTTTTTCACAAAGGCCCGATAGAAATCCTCGTTTTATTCCTTGTTTGTCATTAATTATTTGAAAATCTGACTTTTTTTTGAACTGCCTGATGTTACTTTACCAGTGATATTAACTTAACACGGTGAGATCTGGCAACCCGGACCATGAACTTTCTGATCAGTGAAACGGTGAAGGGCAGGACATCAAAATAAAAACAATAACAAGATTTAGGGGCTGAAAAACTAATTATGAAATTCAAATATCTCGGCTGTATTCAAAAAGAGCAGGTTTATTAATGCCTTTTGACATATTAGTGCCATTTAATGATGACTTGGCATGAAAATCTCACATATTGCCACTTTAAATACCATTCTAAGTTCTAAGACTTCACAAGGCGGTACACACAGAAGCCACAGTGTTTGTCATGCTGCAGTCATTCTTTTAAACTAATCAATAATTTACTCAGTCAGGGAAGTTTTACGTTGCATAAGCCGAGAGAAAGCGAGAAAAACACCATCCTGACACTTTGAAATAGCAGAAGCTGAAGCACGAAACAGTGTGATGAGCCCAACAGAAGCAGGTTTAAACTTCCTATTACAGCGTTAGCCCGCAGCCCGACGAAACAGCTCCTGGTGGAGACGATTTCTGCGTTTTCAGCATGTTTCATTGTCGTAGTAGTGGAAGAAGGTGAACTTTTGCTCCTTTTATTATGAAATATACACCTTGACAATGACAGGGGCTGCTATGGCGCGCACACAAAGCACTTATACAACTTGAAAAATCAAAACGTGTTCAGTTACAACAAGTCTAAAACTCGTAAAACTGGAAAAATCTTGCGCCGTTTTATACACAAGACAAAAAGTGCGCGGTTTTATTGTGTGTCTGGTGAAACAGCTCTGCTCGTCTTTCTCCAGCTTCAGTTTATAGCACTGTGACATGTCGGCCTCCTTTCTTTTGCCCTTATGTGAAGAAAACTGTCTTAAACTTTCTGAAATATCTGGCAGTGGAGTTATGAGAAGAAAAGTCTCGGCATATTTAATTCATCAAACCCAGGTTTTAAAAGCTTTAGTGGTCAAAAACAAGAACAAAATCCCTGTGTATTAAATATTCATCTGGAGCATTGTTTCGATCCAATTTCAAAACAAGTCTATTTTCTCTCATTTGGATCTAACTCCGTCCTGGCAGCTGTCAAGACATTCTTTCTCTAAATTTCTGCAATCATAAACATTTCTGTGAGATTTAGCTGATGAGTCCTGTCACACACTGAACGGGGGGGTAATCTAAATGTGAGGATGGAGGTTTTTTTTATTTTTTCTTTCTTCATTTTTTTCTTTTTATTTTTTCTTTCTTCATATTTATACAGCACTTTCTTCATATTTATACAGCACTTTTATGTGATGTGGCTTTGTGTTTGGTGCCTCACATAATCAGCAGTGAGAAGTTTAAAGGTTTATTAAAGCTGGGATACATAACTTTCAAATAACAAATAGAAAAAATGTAATGAATCGCCTAATATTGGTTCTATCATAGCCACTTGACAAAAAAGAGAGGACCACCCTCGCTCAGCCCAAAACATTAAATACTAGAGCTTCACAATTATACATTTATGGATGTTTTTTTTTGTTTTTTTATCGTTGCATTTCTTGTGTTTGAACTGTTTTATTCTCTGATCTGTGTTGGCAAATTCAACGGTTTTAGTAAGTCCTCAGAGAAAACACAATAAAACACACATACGAGAATAAATGGAATTGAATTGAATAATTACTGCAAGGGTATGTTAACTTATGAGCACAACTGGCCATAAGAACATATCCGGCCATAATAGCAGATGTTCCATACTGTAAATCCCTTTGACCGGAGTACAGCATTGTTCTAGAATACATTGAGTGTAAAGTCTCTTTGATGTCACCTCTCCTCTCCACCGCCTCAGTGCACAGTCGGACAAAGCGAGGGACAGTGTTCCTCTCTCTCTCACACAGCATCTCCAGTCGACAGCCAAACACTTGATCTAAAGAATACATCAATAACTCAATTTTAAACATTATCCTCAAATCACATATTCCAACAAAGTCATGACTCCAGGTAAAATGATTGTCCAGTGATTTAGCTCTAACTCCATGAGCTGCAGTCCCAGCTGAACGCTGAAACAGCTTTGATGATGCAACCCACGTGTACACTTCTATAGAGTGATGTTATAAGCATCTCGGAGTGCAGCGCGGCATATCGTCAGAACCTTTGGTCTCCTCTGATTTAGAGAGTGATTGAACTACAACTACTGCGTTTATTTAGGTATTTATTTGGTCGATAAAATCAACAAAAAGCTTGAAGTTCTACAGACACTTTTAATAACCTGGAGTGATGACTTAAGGTTTGCTTCTGGAATCCCATTAACATGTTAAATGTATAAAGTATACCACCCATACTGTCATGGTGTGGACTTTTGGATTACTTTTACCTGGTTTTATTTTGGTATTGGTTCTTTTCAGTGTTCTGTTGATTGCCCCGCCCTAATGTGTTTCTCTGTGTGTTTAAACCCTTTGCTCCTCTTGCCTTGACGTTGGTCCATTGTGTTTTTGTCTCTGTTTCATCTTGGTTTGAGTTTGGAGTTATGTAACCCTGGGTTTTTGAGTTTATATGTATTAAATCTTATATTTTTGGCAGTCCTGCATTTTGGGTCCTTCCTCCTTTTCGAAACGTGGCACATATCAGTCTCCATCTAGAATGCTCACACTTACATTTAATGCAGGTGAAACAACGCAACATGAATAAGAACAATAACAACCAATAATCCAAATTCAGGAAAAGGTTTTTGGACGGGTCACCTTTGATCAGGCCCTTCTCCTGCAGGGCTTGCAGAGGAGGTCTCTTCAGGATCAGCTTCTTGAGTCTGGACTTGACCCGTTTGCGTTCTGTGTTCTCCAGGTTGGAGGAGGAGCGAGGGACTGCGGAGGACAGAGGGACAGCGCTGTGGGTGAGTGTCGGGCAGGAGGGCCGGAAGAACAGCTGTGAGGGGATAGTGGTGAGGATGAAGAGAGGAAGAGCAGGGCGACGCCTGAGGTGGGACAGCACAGAGGGAGGAATGAGCTGCCAGGGAGGCTGTGTGAAGATGTACACAGGCTGAATGGAACACAGGATAGAAGCCAAGATGGAGGGCGGAAAAACACCTGTGGTGGAGTCAGAGCAATGAGCTGAAGGACATGAAGACAGTCACGGTAATGATAATGTTGAGAGAAACTGCTCATCATAATAGACAACACAACCGTCTATCTTGTCTGGTTCTGTCACTGCCCCTTCTTTAGATCAGTTTTTCCATAGACTATTTTTCAGACAATAGAGTAAAAAACTGAAGACCACCCTCACTCAACTCAAAACAATACATTTCTTCATCATTTCTGGCAGGGTATGTAAACTTATGAGCACAACTGTTCATGATAACAGAATTCTGTCATAACATACACAAGTAATAATGGACACTACAAACATTTAAATCAGACTGGAAGACTACATGCTGCAGTTTCATCCCATCCAGGGCCAGCCTCCTCTTCTTGAAGGTCTTGCTACCCACCACCTCCCCAACTCCTGGCTCCTGCTCTACCTCCTGCTGTAGCTCCTCTCTGGCTCCTGCTCCGGCAGCGCCCCATTCACACTATGCCCTCGAGCCACCACCAGTGCTTGACTCCGGGGGATGTGAGATCATCTTCAGCCGCAATGATCTCCCCTTTGCAAGTGTCACTGCCGGGGTCAATGCGCCAGTCAATAAATCTTTCTAAAATGCAATGGCCTGCTTACAGGTCTGTCCAAACAGGCTGTAAAGCAGCTGCAGTACATTCAAAATGCAGCAGCTCGAGTCCGGACTAGAACCAGGAAGTACAATCACAGTCCAGTCCTCAGGTCTCTGCACTGGCTTCCTGTGGCTCAGAGAATAGACTTTAAAACAGCTCTGCTTGTGTACAAGTCTCTCCATAGCCTCGCACCAAAATATATTAGTGACATGTTAGTCCCATATAAACCAGCCCGGACTCTGAGGAGCACAGGGACTGGACTCCTGTTAGTGCCCAGAGTCAGAACTAAACATGGGGAGGCTGCTTTTCAGATTCACGCTGCTAAAATCTGGAACAATCTTCCTGAAGATGTGAGACAGGCCTCCTCTCTGACAATGTTTAAAACCAGGTTAAAGACGGTTCTGTTTAGCTGTGCATACAACTGAGGGATTTTATATTTGTATCTTTCTTTTTAATGTACAGTGATTATTTATGATTTTAATGCTTTCTTATTTTGTTCAGCACTTTGAATTGCCTTGTGTATTAATTGTGCTATACAAATAAACTTGCCTTGCCATTTTGTGTCTGTTCTAGTCTCTCCAGATTGAAATGGAGTTTAGCTAGCTGTCCATAAATGGACTAATAAAGGGAATTCAAATGAATGATTATTAGTACCTCATCATGCTTTCGGTCTAATTGCAGCTACAATATATTCATGCCAAAGTGCCACTATAGTTCAACTTTAAAGCTTTACAGATGTAAATGTTGTGAACAAATCAGACCACAACAGCTGTTTTAATCTTATTAGAAAACATTTTATCTTTTGCATACTTGTAGGAAACAGCCCTCTGAGTCACTGTTTTACATTGTTTGACTCTTCCTCTTTTTTTTACTTTCCTCTCAGAAAAAGCAGATCTAAAGATGTGACAGGGGCTAAAAATACATGAATGTCAAAACTAGTGCTAGAACCAAACATTTTAGAGAGCGTTTACATGGATTGTATTACAGTTAAATTTCTTATGATTTGAAAGTAACACACCCCATCTTTAACAGTAGATTATGAATGAAAATGAATCATAATAAGTGTGTGACAAAAGAGATGACTTACGGGACGTTTTCCTCTCGTCCTCGTCCCCACTTTGCTCCAGCATCTCCACGCTGCCCGCTCTCCTCAGAGAATACAGAAGCACGTTGTCCATGGGGTTTTCACGGTCCTGAGGAGACATAATTAAACCTAATATAAACATCTGCATATTGTTCTACCGTTCTCGGCAAGGCAAGGTATGTTTATTTGTATAGCACAATTCATACACAAGGCAACTCAAAGTGCTGAACAAAACAAGAGAGAAACAGTCACACATTACAATTATTATGGCATTAAAATCATAAATAATCACGGTACAGACAAAAAAAGCTTTTAACCTGGATTCAAACATTGTCAGAGAAGAAGCCTGTCTTACATTTTCAGGAAGATTTTAGCAGCATGGATCTGAAATGCTTCTATACATTGCTACTGAGGAAACAGCCGCTGTATAATATAACATCTTTAAAAAATCTAACAAAAGATTTGAAAGCATTTTTTTTTTTTATTAAAAAAATCTGTTTAACAAAGAAGGAAAAAATTTGAATCCTTTGGCGCGTGTATGTATAAATGTGTGTGTGTATGTGTTTAAATGTGCGTGTGTGTTGTCTAATGCCATCAGTGGTAGTGTACTGAAACTCACAGTATTGTGGTATTGTTTTGTGTGAGAGACGATTGGACTCGCTCGATGCCTTTGCTTCATCCTATTCCCTCTCATGTAAATGTATTTTATCTTATTTTAACTTTTTTTGTGAATGGTTGTTGCTACAAGTGCCCAGGATTTAAATTAATTCATTTAATTTCATAAATGTGTTACCAGGCGGTCGATGACGCTCTGAATGGTTTTGAACCACTCTTTGATCAGGGAGTCGGTATCAGATTGAAGCAGAAATTCGTTACCGGTCACCGTCCTCAACTGAAACATTAAAACATTCAGAATAAACAGATTAAGCAACAGTTTGAAAAGGTTGGTGTTTCCTCTCATACCTTGAATACGTTCTTTTTGCTGGATAAATCATTGGCCCAGTGGAGTTGTGCACCTCTTAAATCCACACTGCTTTCAGGCCGACTGTTTCCTGGTCTCTAAAATGACATTTCAGCACCAAGATGTTTCAATAAGTCAATAAAATATCATTCATAACCTAAGTACAGAACAGAAGATAGAAAGAACAATAAATGTCTTGTATTTTTTCATTTATACTGTATGTAAAAGTGCTGTACAAATAACTTGACATTGACATTGACATTATTGCGCTTAAAAAAAAAAAAATCCCAATCATCTAAACTGGGTGTGTCTGTGGCCTTCTCAAACGCAAAATTGGGAGGTTCTTTACATGATTGCCCTGTCAGTACATTACAAAACCTTTTTCAGCAGTATTTCAAAAGTGCGTGCGTTAGATTGTGTCCTTTAGAAACGTACAACTGTTGCCTGACCTGTTTTCTCAGAATGTTCTGTCAATTGAGAATAAAAGACCATAAAGTGCATAAAAACATAATGTGACACAGGGAACCAAATATTAAAGTTTACACTGATGTTCTGCTCTCAGCTCACGGGCGCAGAGTCAGCTGAGTGTGCGGATTTATCCCAAAAATAGGAAATCCATCAGGCAGAAAAAGTGAAAAATGTGCCTCATGCATGAAAAGAGCTTTTATAATCAGGAAATGTACTCGCTCACCAGCTTTAACCAAACCATTTAAATTCTGCTTTCTCCATTTACACCAAACTTACCCAGCTGGACGGAGTCTGTGATTTAGGATCTTTGAAAAAAACCAGGCTGTTTCCAACCAGCACCACCCAGGAGAGACTCCAGTTTTTCCTGTTAACACATGTTTATTGTGTGAATCCATAAATCCTTGTTTTGATGATAATTCACAGTAGCTGTAGAGTCGCTGCTTTAAATCATACCTGAGCTTTCTACCTCCTTCTGCAACCTTGGTCTTATTCAAAAGGCCAGCTTTCTCCAACTCCTAAAAAAAACAGACGCAACCTCAGTCAATGTAATGTTCAATATCAATTTCATTCAATTTATTTATGTCAATTCATCACCAACAACAGATCAGAGAATCAAACACTTCCAACACAGGAAATGCAATAATAAAAAAATCATCGGTCCTTGGGGAGTGGGATGATCAATGGCCATAAATGTTAATAAATGTCCTTAAATATCCCAGATCAACACTGTCCTTAGACCCTCCTAAATGGCATGGAATCGGCAAAACCCAGTGGGAAAAAGTAAGAAACCTCTGGATGGCCCGTTATGAGAAAAAGACAGGCTCTAGATCCAGGACTCAGGCTGTAGATGTAAGTAGCCACCACAGCAAGGTCCTGGGTTTGATTCCACCCCCAGGCCTTTCTGACTGTGGAGTTTGCATGTTCTCCCTGTGTCTGTGTAGGTTTCCTCTGAGTGCTCCGGTTTCCCCTACCACTAAAGACATGTACAATAGATCTGGCATGCAGCTCCTGTACGGCGATCCCACTCCCATCTCTGTGTGGAGTGAGAGACAAATGCCCACAACAATTGTAAAGCGCTTTGTGACTCTGGTCTTTGAAAGGCGCTATATAAATAATAGGTGATAGCCCATTTCACAAACTAAGGTACTAAGGTCACACAACGCGTTTTACTATTTGGTGTATATTCTAATCACTCCACACACAGTGATGACTGAAGGCTGGACCCTTGGTGCACACCTTTGCACATATTTCTAGTTGTGTTTTAGTGCGAGGGCCCTTTTAGTTCACTAGACTTGTCCAGGGGCCGACAACCCATAGTGCAAAACTGTTTTGACTGGAATCACAAAACAGCCCGGATTCATAGTTGCCAGAACGGAAGTTTACTCGCTTACTGTACCACCTTACCACAGCTACATTAGGGCGATGTTGTGACAAAATCAACAACGTAGGATAGACAGACAGACAGACAGATCTATCTATCTATCTATCTATACATATATACTGTATGTACAATAAAGTCAATCTTATCTTATATTGTATATCGATCAACAATTGGATCCAAGAGTTTCTGACTTTTACAACATGTGTAGCATGCCTATATTGAGTTCTTCATGAACTCAATGCTTTCTTTGTGTTAACAAGGCAGAGGGCCACATAAAATGCAGCAAAGGGCTGCAATTGGCCCATGCATCTTGGTTGGGACATGCCTGTGGTAGTGGAAACCAGAGAATCACACAAGGAGAACATGCAAACTCCATACAGAAAGGCCCCGTCTGGCCCCGGAATCAAACCCAGGACCTTTCTCTGTGAAGCATGATTGCTAACCTTTAAATAATAATTGTTTCCATCAAAATTGCAACATTTCATCCAGAGCTTATAATGAAGCAGGGTCAGGGGAGGTCTACACTGTCTCTTGAATCTCTGGGGACGATACATAAATAAATAAATACATGAAGAAAGATCTTACCGGAGTGCAGAAATCACTGTCCGGAGAGCTGGCTGGAGACGGGGGCTCCACCACAATGTCAGCCACATAACTCTGCTGCACAGGCACGGGAGAGGCAGTTTTAGCTGTGTAGTGTAGTGTTTGTCTGTGCTGTGTGTGGAGATGTGTACCTTTCCATTCTCCGGGAGGATCAGAGACTGCGAATGGCTAAGCATCTGCTTGGATTCATTGTAGTTGTGATATTCCGAGTGGCTGTACGTCATGTTATTGAGAGTGTCTGAGGAGGCGGCTCGTGGGAGACTCTACACACGTGGAAGAAGGTCCACAAGTCACAACGTCAACATGTAATGACATTTAGTTTAGTTTACATCCTTTTGTTTCACACATTCCCTGTTTGGATATGTGAAGCTTTGAACCGAAGTGCTGCAGTTGGCCGATTGTCAACATTTTTATTATGACACACAAAAGCACGTGCCAACTAAACAATACCACAACACACATAATTGAACACCTTTGTAAATCCTTTTAACCCAGTTTCAACAATCTGAAACATCCCTCCTAATGTTTGCCATCTCTTCATGCACGGAGGATTAGCACCGAGAGCCAAATCTGCTCCTATGCTAAGAGCAGGCGTTTAAGAGGGCTTTAAATTGTGCGCACCCACACCCCACTGTGATGCAACATGTTGCAGTGAGAACTGCTTGGGTAATAGCCTTTCTTTTTACATGATGAGTTGTTATTTCACCAACTTAATATGCATAAATGCTGATCACTGGGAACGTGGAGCACATAGCTGGCATTAAGTAAATGCATTCTACTGAGAGTCTGTGCAGATGCACTTTTTTGCCAATCTAACATTTCCAATTTGCAGATTTTAAGAGGAAAATCCCCATTTCCAAAGAGCAGATGTGCTGACACAGTACAGACCGAGCTCCTACCCAAGCGAAACAGTAACATTTAATGTATTTCAAATCATGCGTTGAAGTTCAGAATGTAGGAATGAATAACATATGTGTTCTTTGTTGGAAGACAAGAATTGAATAAACCAGTGTTATTCTTGCTTAAATAGAAATGTTAAGCACCTGTTTGATGTCGTAGTCACTGTCAGTGTTCTTGTTGTGGCTGTGGTCAGATGACAGCTATGAAGAAAGACACAAACAAACCAGTCACATGAATAACTATGGCACGGATTAATTTAACCTCTCATCTTAAATCCATAATGATATCTTTGACAGGATGTTTTTTTTCACATATTCACGTATTACACGTATATAAGAGCCGGCAGCCCTCGCAGCACACACACACACTACATCCTGTCAGAAATATAACTTTGAATCATCATTGCAGCACACACAATTGAATATTTTATATTTTCCTCAAGGTATGGATGGAAGCAGGCCTGTCTTTCACTTCCCCGGCTGAAGTAGCTCAAATATTCATCACACACAACTACTTTGATTCATACATGCAATTGAAGAAGTTGAAGTAGGTCACATACATAGACTTGGCATCACAAGATACAAGGAAACAAAGGAAGGAAGGAACAAATACATTGAAAATCTACTTACAACAAAAGTGCTCATGGCTAAGGATTGAATATATCACTGAACTATCAGTTCAAGTCCACAGCTCCGCTTTGTTTGTCATGACTAAAGTGGCAGTTAAAACCATCTCACGTCTGTTCAGTGAGGCCAGCACTTCCCCATTCTAGAGGGAAGCAGGTTTATCCGCCTGCACCATCCTCTTGCCCCGAGACACAACCAGGAAGTGCTGTGCTCAATTAAAACTATTTACCAAAACTCCTATCGGCACGTCACCTGACAGCCTTTGTTCAACAGAAACATTTACAATAGAGTTTGTCTCATGAAGCATGTGACTGTGGTTCTGTTTTACATGTGTATATTTTGAGAACAAGCTGTAGTTCTGCTGCTTACTATAATATTCTCAACTGTGTTGTATTGTGTTGTATTGGTGGCAGGCATTTTAGTGGACTGTTAAATGTGTTCATGTTTTCTATGGAATTTCAAATGCTTTTAAGGACTTTTAAATGGTTTTATGTTGTAATGCACATTTCCTTACATGTTAGTAAGAAATGGGCCAAAAAAAAAATTGCGTAATTAATCAAGAGTGTTTAATGATTCATTGACTTGCAATGTAATTGATGGCAGTGATTTTGACTGTTTCCATTCAAAACAATAGCATGATGACCCACCTTTTCTCAGGTAGCAAGAGATAAGTTTTCAATTTAATTATTATTATGTGTCAATGAAACATGTCTTTCACATGTCTGTGCAGCGCTTTGGGAAGCCTAGGCTGTTTTAAAGGTGCTTTACAAATAAAGATTGATTGATCTATATATTCACAGTATTTGTTTGGGTATTTTTGTCCTGTATGATGTGTTTAGCGGCTCTCAATTCGGTAAAGTAAAAAAGCACCAATCGTGCATTATTTTTCTTTTGTTTATTCCCACCACTGGTTGCGGTGTAAAAAATATGTCATGTATAAGATCCAACATATAATTGTCCCATGCAAAACAAGATCAATATCAGTAAAATATTCAGAATAGTATCTCAGTGCACTCAGTATTCACACTACTGTAAGCGTCCTACTATGGGATACAAACTTCATTCTCAGCGTCAGTATGTCATGCACTATGCATCGGCCCCTGCTGGAGTCCCTGACAAGACCTCGGAGCAGAATTGAAGCTGGCACATATAGGTCAGCAGTGTGCGCCTCACTCTAACCTGATAGGGGAATCACTTCTTTGATCAGGGGAGTATTTTTTGATGAGCTACATTAAATTTGAAACACTGATGCAACAATGAGGCAAGCTGCTTTCAGATGCAAAATGCTTATCTTCCACAATCTGGATCACAGGGCTCACGATGCCTTAACAAGTCTGTGTCGTCACATATTCTATGGATGCATCCAGTCACTCTGCAGCTACGCTAACTCTTTTCATCATAACCTTCATAGACAACAAGAAAACCTCTCCACTGCCGCTCAAAGTTGACAAAATGAAAGAACTGTGACACTGGGAAATTAGTTTTGCAAAAAGTGGAAGTCAAAAACTTTGTATGATTGATATCACTGGGTGTAAACTCCTTTTAGACGACAGTTTTTTTGGAAATGTGAGATATAGAAACTGTGGAGCCTTGAACTTTAAAAGATAGAGGACTTCAGAAATTAATGACAAAAAAAGTTATAAGAAAAAATGAATGCATTTCTAAAACAATACTTTTATCTGATGTAATTTTTGTGTGATGGTTGCTATGTTTTATTCTATACCAGATCGCCTTGTACAGCCAGGGGTGCACATAACTTCTTCAGTGAGGTTCTCAGATGAGTACCAGGAGATGGTGTTTGCTACTCACTCCACTTGTCTATACTTGCTTCTTTTTAATGCAAAAGTTTAGATCAGCTCAGCTACTCCACTCAATCCAAGTCGAATAATGACTCACAGGGCTCTTTCTTAAAATTGCAACAACAACAAAAACATTCAAAACAATGTTCTGTTTGTTCACAACATTTTACTTTTGGGCACAACCAAGATTATTATGCATTATCACTGCAAGGGAAAATGTAGGTACCACAGCTTTCATTTAGAGACACAGGGAGGACATGGACACTCCCTTAAGGCTCCATAGTCCAGAACGCTGCTGCCACCGAGGATTTGGAATCCCGCTCGAGTACGTACAGCAAACAGCAGCAATTGCCCCGCGATCACACACACCCTCTCTGGCAGTGCACCACGCCCCCCTAGGGAGGAGCGCCCCACTGTACTGGTCTATGTGAAGTTCGCAAAGGCGCTTTCTAACTAAAGTGATAGTACACATTTGTGATATTTGTTGCGCATGCGTACCTGCATACCGCTTATGTGCACCCCTGTGTAGAGCTTTTTTTTTTAAACACACAACATTATATTTATCTTTAAAAGGTGTGTAATGAAGGTGATTTTTTTTCTTTTTGTAAGACTTATTTTTGATAACAGTTATGTCTACAATTTGTCTGTTGATTTCTGGGGTCCATCACCAGAGAAACACTTCCAAATAATTGATTGATCCTATAACATCCTAGAGACCCCTGTGATAGACCACTCTTATCATTAAAAAGTAGGGTTAGGGTTAGTTAGGGTTAATATGCAACAATTTAAACTTTATTTCCGTTTTTTCTCTTTATGGAGAATCTACTGCTAGACTAAAACTTCGTTGCCCTTTTGGCCTCTGATCAACTTCCATCTGTTCATGTGGTCTGATTTTAATATTCCCTGCAGGGATTAGGATTAGCCCAACAAAATCATGTTTTAGAACGATAACCCGGTGTACTATTTCTAAATCCCATGAGTAATTGGCAGAGTGAGTCTAGAATCCTTCAGGCAATCAGAAAGCTGGTTTGACAGGTCATTTTTTTCTGACTCGACTGCCAAGAGAAATAAAAGCAAGGGCTGTTTAAGGTCTGGCCCCTTTTGTAGCCTTCACCTGCCACCTCCCAACACTTCACTTTGTTGTGTGAAACTTTACGTCGCCCCCTGCTGCCTGCCGTTCTCGCTGCTGTTTCAACTGTGCACATTTTTGTTTTTACACCACACTCACATCAAACACTGTTCTCTAAACCCTTTCGCCAAGTTTAAAAACACATCGTACTAGTTGCAAATGTGAAAGTTGCTGTCACTATTAAAAAGTTTGTGAAAGTGCACATTGACACCTGTCCGGTTTGTGGCTTGCAAATGAGGGGGGAGGAAAACGGCTTCAAGTTAGACTCAATACGAAGAGCTGTCAGTCTTTCCATGCTTACCGTGTTGTACGCAGTTCCATTACCCGTAGCAGGGAGCGTTAACTTCAAATGGCTTGTATCTCTGGGTAATGTCTGAGTGTGAAGCAAACTGGCCTGAAACACAAACACATGGATAGTGTTTAGACTGGTTGCCCTTTTCCCCTACTTTGCCAAAATTAGGACAAAAATCTGAATCTTTGTGAAATGATGCAGCTCTACTTCTAGCTCCTCCCAACTGTAGGAGTAATGTTCAAGTAATGTTCTATGATATGCACTGCCTCTGAGATAAATAAACAAACCATGGATCCGCACTCTCGCTCTTTCTGTCATTAACCAAAGTTCATGACCAGAGGTGAGGGTGTGGACGCAGATTGACCGGTAAATTGAGATCTTTGTTATCAGACACTCTTCACCAAAACAGTCTGATATATCACTGCACACGCTGCACCGTTCCATCAATCTCACGCTCCATCCTTCCCTCACTTGTGAACCAAAGAAACTTGAACTCTACAAGAAACTCCTTTACATTCAATGATCAAATGAACCTGACAAAGTCTTTGGAGGTGGAATCAGAGGAGAATATTTTTGTGGAAACCAGATTGATGACTAGACCACTCACCCTGGTGTTGCTGGTGCCGCTGCTGGTGCCGCTGCTGGTGGTGTGGCTGCGGGCCCTTCGCGGGGGCTTCCAGGACCGCTCTTTCGTGACACTGTTGACGTAGTACCAGCGGCCTGAGGCGGGGTCTGTGTGCTGCTCCCACAGGTCCAGGATCTGAAGAGGCTGCTGTCCTGGGGCCGGGCTGGGGGGCTCCTGCTGCGAGCCACGCTTCTCAGGCTGAGGGTCCGTGTACAGAGGAGACACCTGCCACGACAGCTGCGCCAGGTACGACTCAGTGGGGACCTGAGAAAAGAATAACAAGAATACAAAAACATTAATTACAACCAAGTCTTAACTCATACTGTATACAAGAAAGGAAAGCAATTACATCGACACAGCAACAAATACATTTGATATAAATTCTTTTGTATTATTGATTTGACACATTTTGAACCCAAGAAGAGTCATTGTAGTAATGGCTGCAGCTAACAATTATTCTGAGAAGCAATGAATCTAGCAGTTATTCTTTTGATTAATTTATTAGTAGTTTAGAATGCTGGTATGATGTGATTGTGTATATTTGAGTAAGGGAACATTGAGCTATCGGAGCACATTCTAACAGAACATTCACATTTTCCACACACTTCAGGATTTCGATGAAATTCTGACTGAAATCACTCTGTACATATAGCCATAAACAATTAATCAATTACAAGAATAGTTGATGCAAATACAGTACTTCCTGGACTCTAAAGCCTCTTCTTTGGACCCTGCGGCTTGTCTAGTGATATAGTGAAGCAGGAAGGGATTTGGACCCAGCTCTATCAGAACAAGGAAGTGCAGGGAAATACATATACAGTAACTTGTTTACATGTATGTGATTAGTGCTATAGTCAGAGCAGCGTATCAAATGATCTTATGATTTTGACTCAATTTTTGTGGAGTCAAAGTGTTTGTAGGAATGTTATTGTCAAATTAGATTGGATTTAACCAAGTGCTTTGATAATCATCAGTAAATCATGTTTTGTCCGGTTAAAAAAGTAATCTATCGGCTTTTCTATATTAGCTGGTATGGTGCACATTACAAATTGAAAAACTGTGTCTTATATTTTAATTATCAATTAATTTTCAAATGTAGCGGATGCGGTTCAGTTATCCAGTAAGAGTCCAGTCATTGATTAATCATTTCAGCTCTAATTGTAGTTCCTTACTCTAGTAATACTAATAGCAATACTTTGATTAATAATTTACAGCGTATAAACAGGCAGCAGAGACTTGACTGGGCTTATGTAAGAAGGATCAAGCGGTCATGTCTAAGGGATAATAATTATGCACGAGTTTGAAGATATACAATAGGTCTCTGTTAAAGAGCCATAGTTTACCGGGGCAAGTGACAATTTTGTGAAGTAAGGAATTTTTATACATTTGTTCATTTAACTACTTTAACCAGGAAGTCCCTCTAGATAAATGGAGATAAATACAAATTCTAAGTAATTACAGCAGTTACAATGGATTAGCGAGCAGATTTCAGTCGCATACATTCTGCTCATATTCTCATCTCCACAAGAGATCCGGTTTTATCACAGTTGGCTGCGTTGCTCAATGTGATGCCACTACATGACAGCAGCTAAATAAAGACATTTTATCATGGAACCCACAACTACAGGTAGTACTTGTGTTGTCACACTAATAATAATGAATGATATGATCTTTAAAGAACATTTGTCCTGGGTTTGAATAGTGTGATACAATATAGGTCATCATTCCCAGAGCTTATCATCCCTTCCTTTAATATAAATTATACTGTATGACTTTGTGGCAGGCAGTTGAGATTGAAATATATTAAATGTGTTTCTCCCAACGGAAATGCAATTGTGACCTGAATGTGACTGCAATAATCCTGCTTACTGGCTTTAAAACCATGAGAGCCGAGAGAGTTGTGCAGCAGGACCAGACAATGGAGAGAGAGGAGAAAGTGGTGCATAAGGGTTTCGCTGTCTCCTCAGAGATCACAGCAGCTCGTACTTTTAGAGCCTCATGCATGATTCAGACCATGGTAAAAAAGACACTTTGGATACGCAGATTTTTACTGAGCTCAGACAGATAACCTTGATTATTTCTCTCACCAACAATGTCTTCTGTAATCTCATCTGATGTAATGCAGGGCAGCTCTGACATCATGCCAATGCTGACTAGATTGGTGCTCTAGGAGGATTATTGAGGTCAAGATACTGTGTCGATGGAATACCGCCTCAACTGCTGCGGCAGCATCTGGGTTTAAAGCAATATAATATAACTACCGTCTGAGAGTGGAGGTTACCTGCTGTGTTTATGTGTCGTCAAAACTAAGTGTCATGTGTTTGTGTTCTGACTGCCCTTTGTTCTCTGCTAGTGATTCTGAATCATTAGCAACAAACTCTGGAATTGATCCATCTGGAGTCACCTGCCTTTGGCTTTTAGGGATTATTAGGTTAATAAAGTGCATTTCCCCTACTACGGACAAGTCACTCTTTTTTTTAAAGAATATATCATGCCTTGACTTATTCCTGATGTTTTCCATATATATAAATATATATGATTTGTAGTTAAAACAGAATTTCATTCCTACTACTTATAGTATATTTATTATAAATCTCATCAGCCTTTTGGTTACAGTAGACAACCTTTGGAGGACCCCTGCAGTGGTTCTGAAGCCCCGAACCGCACATTGGGAAGGACTGGAAATTTTTTATAAATCTTCTAAATGTGAAAAAATGTGTCACATGTGTCAAAAGAAGATTCTAGATTGGTTTCATCAACCCTTATGAACAAGTATATTTACTTTAAATGGTGATGTATTTTCTAACAATAATCAACATGATATTACACATATTCTAACTGTGGCATTTCTACTCAGAGAGGAAGCTGTTAATTTAACAATGACATGAACATTGTTAAACCAAATGTCACTTAAATCCAGAACCATTCAAAACAATATGTCTTCAAATGTCAATGAACTAAGATGCACAAAAACATGTTCTCCTCTCCTACCTGCAGATGCGTCTTCTTGCCAGAGGTTCCCAACATGTCCCACTGACTACAGGACTTTTTGGGGGGCTTGCAGGCCACTCGTGTTCCGAGGCCTCCTCCCACCTCGTCGTAGGGGTTCTCAGTTACATTTTCAGGTAGATTACTGGAACTCTGGCTGCGGGTTATTGTGGGTATCACTCTGGAGTTTGTTGAGACGGGTTGGAATGTCGAAAGAGTTGGAGATTTGGGGACCATGAGGTGGCCCGAGGAGGAGGTGCACGAGATCGGAGTGAAGGTAAATCCGGACAGTGGCAGAGAGGGGAAGTGGCTACTGCTGCTGCCATCGGCCTGGTAGGCACTGCTGGTGCTGAGGTTGTCCATGGAGCGGTACATCGGCTTGTTTGCCACTGTAAGCAGAGTTACGAAGCAACATTATTCTATGTAAACTGACAGAAATGTAATGGATGGAACTTCTTTAAGTGACAAGACGACATATTTCACTTGATTGTTGGCTTTGCATTCACAAATCACAGGTAAATCATTATTGCCTCACAATTGGTCCAGATAAAGTGAACCAATACATGAGTACGCATCTTAAAGCTGCACTAACTGACTTTGGGATTTTGAAGCTGCGGACCCGCTGGCCTCTTTCTTTCTGCTCCCCCCCCCCCACACCCACGAAGCTATCGCCCCACACACACACCCACTGTTGTTGACGGAGCTAGCGTCTTCCAAAATGGATATTATGGATATATGGATTTGCACGTGGATGGCGTGACCACAACGATAGAACCGGGAAGCGCGGAGGAACGGGACTTTCTTTTGGATGGTTGTCTCGCTGCGTAAGCAGTAACCGGTGACGAAGACGAGGAAGTTTCAGGTTAGCTCCTCGGCTTGTTGTGCTAACTCAGCCGTCTATCCTAACGGACCTGTAGATTTCTCACAAAAGTGGGGGCAAGTGGTGCGCTGTGATTGGTCACAATCTGCGACCCGAAACACATGTTTCATCCAAACTCATCAAAACTCGATCTAAAATATAATGTCACGCCAGCACAAATCTGCGCTACTTTTTCTTCAAAAGGACGTATATCCCAATGCACTGCATGCACATGGATAGCATTTTCGTAATAAATACAAAAATAAAGTCAGTTAGTGCATCTTTAAATGTGCAGCTTTATAGATGTCACTTTTGAACTTTTGATTATGATTTTCAGAAGTATGAATTAAAAAAACTTAACAACTTTGAGCATCTTAAAGCCATGTTCCCACCAGACCAAGGGTTGCGGCAGGTTAACATGCAAAGTCAATGCTGCTGTTGGTGTGAATAATCGCAAAACCAGGATTATAGCAAAAGCTGCAAGAGTTGTTGAAGAACTTTATGTAAGTACACGATTAGCGGCATCGCTGGTCTGTGCATTGGTTTTACTAAAGACGTGTGGCCGATTTTTAACCAACAGACTTCCAAAAAACGCAACAACCGTGCAGCGATGTAGTGGTTTTGGGAAAGGGGCTTTAGAAGGGCTATAATATGAAATGAATAAATAAACAAACTTTCCAAAAAGTAAATAAACAGATATATTGCTAATGTATTGGTTCATCAATCAGAACAAATCCTAAACGCCATCCACCATAATTTGAATAACACAAATCGTTGTCTTCCACAAATAGTTCTTGTTGTTCTCATTGGTCCCATTGATCACTTATACATTACAGCACATAAGCCAAGAAGTTTCTGTACCTTGCCTTTCAGTGTATACAGAGTGAGTGGGGCTGGGGGTGAACGCCACTCGAGGAAGCGTCCGAAAGTTGGGGTTGAGTGATGCCGATGGGAGCTGACGCTGAGATGAGGGCAAGGGCTGAATAGGCACCTCCATCACGTAAGTGGCAGGGACATACAAAGGCTTTGTCTTAGTGGCAGCTCCAATCCTGCGAACCTGAGGAGACAAACACGCTCAGTGATGTTTTTTACCTATTCATGACTTTCTCTCCTGGTTCTAGATTAGAAATTTTCACAAAGAAATGTGTCTTTCACTTCACCATGTCAGACCGTATTCTGATTTAACTTTTTTTCATTCATTGATGTCATCAAGAATACACTCACACAGCCCTGCTGTAAAATAATAAATGTTCATGTGTCTTATACTGAGCATTTTCTTCTTGTGTTTTTAATTTAACCCAATATGTATTCCATTCATTAGCATGTACCGGTAAATACTGCAAGTCATTGTAGGGGAGGTGTAGGTCGGAGAGTGCTTTGGTCTGTGTCTTGTCTAAATGAGTGTGCGTGTGTGCATCTGCTTCTGTGTGTGTGTGTGTGTGTGTGTGTGTGCATGCATTGAGTTGTGTTGTTGTATAAGTGAGAGGGGTCAGATTCCTCAGACCCCTAAAACTATGTATTGCTGTTTATTTTGTGCACCTTGTTTATTGATTTTTAAGTTTGGAAAATTATAGACCATAAATTCACTACACACACACATACACTATAGTGAATATAATATATTACAGTATATACAGTATATACAATTGAACTTGTGGTCATCTCAGTGGACTTTACAAAGTTGACGATTCATTAGCAACACATCAGAGAATCAAACATAATGTATTAAGTTGTAAAACCCGCCATAGACACCATGTTTGTGTAAAACTGAGACCCTCACCTGCCACCAGTCTGCATTGGTCTTTTTGAGGAGAATGAAGCGTTCTCCTTCTCGGATGGACACCTGTCTGCCGTCTGCTGCTCTGTAGTTATAATCGTACTGAGCCTCCAGCACCACTGTGCCGCCGGTGACCCCACACACGGTCACGCCACGGCTGTTGCCCATGGAGACCGGGCCGGACTGCCCCACCGACCGGCGCCACGTCCCAGACAACATGGCCGCTCCGTGGACTCACTCACCAAACACTATGAGCTGTGGATGTGATCACAGAAGGCACCGGGGGCAGGAGACACGCTCGGTCCATGATCTGTTCAAAGGCAAAGAAAACATTCTGTCATGCAGTGTCAGGCGTCAGAGAACCATTATCTATAAAGAATTGATCCTCAGAATGACAAAAAGGGGCTCCAGAAAAAGAAAACAAATTTAAACAGTGAAATAGACAAATGTTCCATTGTTTAAATATGTACCGTTTCAAAATATAATTAGAAACAATTATGTGAGAATTATTTTGAAATATTGCCCCATGGCGCCAGCCTTGATGTCTCTGAGGCACACTAGGTATTTTTGCATGTGATATTAAAATGCAAATGGCAATAGAATGAACCTAAATCTGATTTTGAGGAAGTGATAAAGATGCATATAAAATATTTTCAATACATTTCCAATATAATATTGTTATATTATAATTTGTATACTTTGGGGATATAGTAACCAATCCAGATGCTAAATAACAATGCAAATAAAAATGGCATATCCAATATTCCTGGTTTAGTTAGAGATTAACTATTTAATGGTTTTCTCAACCATTTGGTGGTTCACCTTTTGAGTCCCTATATCTACTAGAAGTTTGAAACTGAAATCTAACTCATTGGGGCATCTCTATCACTTTTTTTTGGCTTCTCACCCATTTGTTTGAGGCCTTTAATAAAAATAAAGTGCAAATAGTGAATATCTTATGTGTCTGAAGGCACTAAGCATTATGGACTCAAAATAGCCGCTGTTGCCCCACCTGAGCCAGCCTCCCCAAGTGAACCCCCTCCCACTCAGATTAGACCAGTTTACATAACACAAGTTAAACTAGAACGTGCACTCGGAGAGCGCATACTCCACCAACACCACAGATAATCTCTTTTTATACCAACACATTCTACACACCAAATATTAACTCAATTTGTCAGTTAGTTTTTGCACAATCCTGCCTTCAGACAAACACACACATAGTTTTTGTAAAAACATTACAAAAACTCACATACATTTAAAGGAGGAACATTGACAGGCAGATTACAGCACGCCTTCAGTCTGAAAACAAGGGAGTATCAATACGGAGACCCATGTCAATAAAAGGAAGGAAACATAATGCCATGGATGAAGAAGAAAGGGCGAAGCAGACAAGGCCTTAAGTCCGAGGATTGGGAGAGTTCTCAAGTAGATGCTCAAATATCTGGGAAAGCGGAGGCAGCAGGAGACTCTGAGTGGGAGTTGTGTGGCTGAAGCAGGAGTTTGAAAGTGCCGTATGAGAAGGTAGAGTTAGCGGCACCGACCTCGGGTAATCCTGCTGTTATTGAAGCAAAGAGCCAGTGACCTCCAATGCACAGAGTATTATAGAAAAGCCCTTTGGTAAACTGGTATGGACACAGACGGAGGTATGTCTGCGTCATCAGCACTGCATACAATGAATTGGCCAAATGTAAACATATCATAGATTATTATTTGATTACGATTGGAATGCCCTATGTTGTTTTGTTCAGCACTTTGAGCTGCTTTGTGTATGTGAATTGTGTTTTTATACGCTGAAATTATTTATGATTTTAAGCCCTTGTGGGATTTTAATATTTGGTTTTAGTTACCTGTGTGATTTTAGTTGTTACGTTTTTAATATTCGGTGTGATCTTAATGGTTGTTTTAATGACTTAGTTTCAACGTTAATGATTTAATGCATTATGTGGGCTGTGAAGCACTTTGCGTTACCTTGTGTAGGAAAAACTAATAAAGGTTGATTGATTGATGTTTTTAAGCATAAACTTTGAGGCATTTACTGCTCAAGCGACAGACTCATGGGTACGGTGCTGGAAAGATCTCTGCAATTCTAACATTTCTCTGGGTATAGGAACATTGTGCATAATTTCATATATATATATATTGTTTTCGTGTACATTGCACTTTTTTTACAGTACAATGCTGTTTTAAAACACATACCAGCCACAATTACAATTCATATTAACAAGGCTGCACAATTGAAAGGAGATCATTAGCATTAGTGAGCACAAAGGGACGGTTCTGCCACATGAGAGGGGGCAGCAGTTAGTATCACTCAGTTTTAGTGGGACATGCATCAAAATAACAGCTTAATGTAGAGATAAACTAGGAATCAGCTCAATTCATTCATCTAGTTTTCATTCACACTCCTATTGCACAAGTCTAAGTCCCAAACTTTCTCCAACAACCACTCACAACACATAAAACAAACGTGCATTCAAGATTAAGGACAGAATAGAACCACTCACAACAGCACAACATTCAGCAGTATTTGAAGCTTAAGAGTTGTGACAATCGTAGCAATGCGTAGCAAGTAGCAATCCTTATAGTGAAAAATATAAAAGTAATCGAATTAACACATATAAGGTTACCTGCATTTAACAAGTACCCGCCACATGGAAGCCGCAGTTGTGATACAAACAGGAAGTATAGTCACATCAAAAGTACAACCACACGTCCTTTTCATCTTTGCTCTTGTATAGAGAAAAATGACATACTGTAGCAGTGACCCTGGTATAGATTGTCAATGCTAATAGATAAAAAGATAATCTAACAAAGGCTTAGGTTAGGAGGTTCTTCTATTAAGACATGTTCGAAGCATAAAGACAACATCATTAACGTTTTACACTTAGGCAAGGCAAGGAAAGTTTTTTTTGTATAGCACAATTCATACAATTCCTACACAAGGCAACTCAAAGTGCCGGACAAAACGATGAGTAATATGTTCTTAGTGTTTGGAAACAATCACACAAGGCATTAAAATCAGAAATAATCACAGCACATTAAAAAGAGTCACTATAAAATCCCTCAGTTGTATGCACAGCTGAACAGAAATGTTTTTAACCTGAATTTGAACATTGTCAGAGAAGAAGCCGGTCTCACATTTTCAGGAATTTGTAAAACTAAATACAAGAAGTGTATTCAGTAAGTACAATTGCGGTGTGACGCTTTGTCGATGGCTGAGATGAGACATTTACAACTACAACAATTATTTATTTGAGAATCTGTCAAAACACAAAACCTTCAGGTCACAGAGTTTGTCAAAAGCGATAGAATTATAGTTAATTCTTGTACTTGAGACCTTTGGTTTCATTCAGCACGTGAGTGGCCCCACCCACAGCAGGGGGCACACTCTTGACCTGCTAATTACAAAGGGGGTTAATGTATCAAATGTTAATGTAGTTGATGTTGCTTTGTCAGATCATTTCTGTGTATTTTTTGACATGTGTTTTGCTAGCAAACCACCAGCTGAATTTACAATTGCTAGAAGAAGACACATACATGAAAACACAGGTGAACTGTTCATGGGAATGCTAAATTTTGAGAAAACTCCATGCTCTACTGTTGATGAATTGTATAACTCTGTCACCACCAGTGTTCTGAATGTTCTGGACGCCATTGCTCCTGTGACGGTTAAAATAGTTACCAGTAAGAAAAAGGCCCCATGGACTAAGGCAGACTCGGTCAGGGCACAGAAGCAAGAGTGCCGGAGGGCCGAACGGAAGTGGCGAAAGTCCAATTTCCAGGGCGATTATGAAATCTTTAAAGATGAGTTGGGTGAATTTAACCGGGTTCTACGAAGAACAAGAGAAATGTATTTTTCTGACATTATTGGAGGTTGCAGTAACAATTTTCGTGTTATGTTTTCAACAGTTGGTAGATTAACGAACCCCCCTGTAAAGTTGCCCCTTGAATTTTCCTCTAAATCTAGGTGTAATGAGTTCGCACAGTTTTTCGATGACAAAGTACAAGGAATCAAAAACACTATCACCTCCACAGCACGTATAACAATGCAACAGCCAGAGAAGCTTTTTGAGCTAACTCACTTTGCACCTGTGGATACTGAAACTGTCAAAAAGATAATCATGAGTCTGAGCTCCTCCACATGTAGCCTGGATATATTGCCCTCTAAATTTCTGAAGTCCGTCCTGAGCAGTTTGTTACCTTCACTGACACAAATAGTAAACATGTCTCTGTCGTCAGGAACATTTCCTATGGCCCTAAAAACAGCAGTCATAAGACCTCTCCTAAAAAAGAGCAGTCTGGATCCTGCGGGACTTCAAAATTATCGCCCCATATCGAATCTGCCATTCATTGGAAAAATTCTTGAAAAAGTGGCCTCCCAACAACTCACTGAATTTTTAACAATGAATAATTCTTTTGATATGTTCCAGTCTGGGTTTAGACCCCACCACAGCACTGAGACCGCTCTAGTGAAGGTAACAAACGACATTCGACTTCACACTGATGCAGGTAAAGTCACAGTTTTGGTCATGTTAGATCTTAGTGCCGCGTTCGACACTGTCGACCATGAGATCCTCATGCAGAGACTGGAGGACTGGGTTGGTGTCACTGGCACAGCCCTAGACTGGTTTAGGTCTTACCTGGAGGATAGGAAGTACTTTGTGGAGATTGGAGACTGCGTCTCAGATCATGTGGCCCTGACCTGTGGAGTACCACAGGGGTCGATCCTGGGACCTCTCCTATTTAATCTCTACATGCTGCCGTTAGGTCAGTTAATACAAAGAAACAAAGTGTCCTACCACAATTACGCCGACGACACTCAGATCTATGTCTCACTGACTGCAGGAGAACATGGACCACTGGATTTGCTCCTTCACTGTATCCAACAGATCAGTGAGTGGATGCAAAATAATTTCCTCCAGCTAAATGCAGACAAAACCGAAATCATTGTCTTTGGTCCCCAGAAACAAAGAGAGGGCGTCATCTGTCAACTTCAGTCTCTCTCCCTACTTCCTTCAGACAAGGTCAGAAATTTGGGGGTAATACTGGACTCAGACCTAAATTTCAATAGCCACATAAAATCAATAACATCAACAGCTTTTTACCATCTGAAGAACATTGCCAAAGTCAGAAATATAGTGTCCAGGGCAGACTTGGAGATTCTT